ACCCACGCACTCTCCCCTCTCCCCTCACCATCTAGCTCCCTCTCTCCCTCCCCCTCTCTCTCCCCCTCTCTCTGCAGAGATTATCTCTTTCACGCGGGACAGATTTTCTGGACTCTGAGTCCCGCGTGACAGCAGCATCAGCAACATCATCACCAGCAGCAACATAAACATAATCATTAGCAACAACAGCATCATAAGCATTAAACTCATCATCAGCAACATCATCAGCAGCAGCAGAAACATAATCATCTGCAACAACAGCATCATGAGCGTGAAACTCATCAGCAACATCACCATCACCATAATCAATATCAGTAACATCAACATCATCATCAGCGACATCATCATCAGCAACAGCATTGAGCCGTGCCGACTTTCATATGAGCTCGCTGACAACACTGTGTAGGCTACACGGAATATTTTTTTAATTTGTGTCAGTTAGAGACTAAGTGTATGATTTCGTGGGTGAGTGGGTAAGTGAATGGGTGAGTAAGTGAGTGAGTGAGCAATGAGTGGGTGAGTGGGTGGGTGCATGAATGGGTGAGTGGGGGAGTGAGTGAGGGAGTGAATGACTGCATAAGTGAGTGAGTTGGTTGATAAGTAGATGGGTGAGTGGATTAGTGGATGGGTGAGTGAATAGGTTAGTGTGTGGGTGGTTGACTGAGTGAATAAGTGGGTGAGTGAGTGAGTGGATGAGTGAGTGATTTAATTGGTGAGTGAGTGGGCGAGTGAGTGAGTGTATGAGTGCGTGGGTGAGTGAGTGGATGATTGATTGATTGGCTGAGTGTAGTGGCTGAGTGAGTGGCTGAGTGAGTGGCTGAGTGAGAGGATGAGTGAGTGAGTGGCTGAGTGAGTGAGTGGCTGAGTGAGTGGGGGGCTGAGTGAGTGATGGGCTGAGTGAGTGGATGGATGATTGAGTGGCTGAGTGAGTGGATGAGTGAGTGGATGAGTGAGTGGTTGAGTTAGTGGCTGAGTGAGTGGATGAGTGAGTGGCTGAGTGAGTGAGTGGCTGAGTGAGTGAGTGGCTGAGTGAGTGCGTAGCTGAGTGAGTGCGTAGCTGAGTGAATAATTGGGCGAGCGTTGCGCCTCTAACCCGCCAGGGACCCGAGTTCTATTCCCCACTCACGGCCACCAACACCCAGCGAACATCTGCACCCAGTCCTGGTGACCCGTCCCCCTAGGGCGACTCAGCTTTATATCGCCATTTCCTCGGATCCAATTTCGTCGGACACACTGGCAGGGGAGGGGGGGGGTCGAGCCCACGGCCTTCCTGTATACCAGGCGAGGTAGTTAACATCTCGCAAGGTCCGGGATGGAACCCACGACCTTCCTGTATACCAGGCGAGGTAGTTAACATCTCGCAAGGATCCAGGATGGAACCCACGTCCTCCTGTATACCAGGCGAGGTAGTTAACATTTCGCAAGGTCCGGGATGGAACCCACGTCTTCTGTATACCAGGCGAGGTAGTTAACATCTTGCAAGGTCCTGGATGGAACCCACGGCCTTCCTGTATACCAGGCGAGGTAGTAAACATTTCACAGGATCCATGATGGAACCCACGGCCTCCTGTATACCAGGCGAGGTAGTTAACATCTCACAAGGTCCGGGATGGAACCCACGGCCTTCCTGTATACCAGGCGAGGTAGTTAACATCTCGCAGGGTTCGGGATGGAACCCACGGCCTTCCTGTATACCAGGCGAGGTAGCTAACATCTCGCAGGATCCGGGATGGAACTCACGTCCTCCTGTATACCAGGCAAGGTAGTTAACATCTCGCAAGGTCCGGGATGGGACCTACAGCCTTCTGTATACCAGGCGAGGTAGTTTCAGTTTTCAGTTGCATTTATTTGGTGTAGCCCTGTGAGCCATTCGGCTCTTGAATCGGGTGCAACCGCAACAAACTAAAAACAAAAACATGAACAAGAAAACATCTTCAAGTGACTATGTGCAAACAGAAAACCCACGTCCTTCTGTATACCAGGTAGTTAACAAAGGCGGCCGGGGATGAAAAAAAACAAGACTGTGTTCGCTATCCACAAACCCCTGGGAGCATTTGGCTAATCAGGGATCGAGCGGGGGGGGGGGGGGTGCTTCGTCTTTAACTTTGTCCACTTCGCTGCCCATTAAATATTTGGTGCCAATTAGTTTCGCGAGACACAGAGGGGGCAGTGTTAGTGGGAGTAAGGGGGGGGGGGGTAGTGGGGAGAATGGGGAGAATGGGGAGAGAGAATCAATAGGATTAGATTAGAGCTCTTTCTTTCTCTCGCTCGCTCTCTCTCTCTGAACTCTCCCTTGGGTCTGTCTAAACTCTCACTCTCTCCCACGGGCGCTCTCTCTCTCTTTAAATTATTTCTAAACTCTGTCTAACTCTCTCTAACTCTCTCTAAAATCTCTAAACTCTCTCTCTAAACTCTCTCTAAACTCTCTATAACTCCCTCTAACTCTCTCTAAACTTTATGAGACCTCCTTTACCAGTGGCGAAATATAGTAATAGGTTTTTACCCTTTCAACTGGTACAAAAACTGACACCTTTATACAAGGCATCATGTTTGCAATAACCACAACACAAGCAGTCAAAATGCAAACAAAAATAAACAACTCTGATGATGATAATGATATGCACTGTCCTTGAAGTTGATTGGTCCACACTCCTTTTCTCTCTAAAATCTCTCTAACTCTCTCTAAACTCTCTATAAACTCTCTCTAACTCGCTATGATGATGCTGATGATGTTATGATCACCTGCTGCTGATGATGAGGCAAATGATGATCATTTAGAATCTCTATTTCGACTGGATCAATCCCATAAACTATAAAGCTCCTTTTCTCATATTCTGCTGATAATAATGATGATGCTGATGATAATGATTCTACTGATGATGCTGTTGATGATTCTGCTGATGATGCTGCTGATTATTTTGATTCACCTGCTGCTGATGATGCTGATTCTGCTAACGATAATGATGATGCTGACGATCACGATGCTGATATTGATTCTCCTGCTGCTGCAGATGATGTTGCTGCTGATGATATTACTGATGAAAATGCTGCTGATATTGATTCCTTTGCTGCTGCAAATTATTCTGTTGATGATGATGCCGATGATACTGCTGATGATCACGATGTTGATGATGTCGCCGCTGATGATATTGATTCTCCGGCTGCTGCTGCTGCTAATGTTGCTACTAATATTGCTGCTGATGATGATGCTGCTGATTATATTGATATTGCATACCGGTCAACTCCTTATCAGTGTCCTACCTTATTACAGACCAATTCAGACCTTATTGGCCACCCCGTGTCCTTATAAATCTCAAAGTTCATCCTACAAAGTCCCATCACAAGGGAGAAACACAAACAAATAGACAATCACCACTCGTACACTCACCACTACAATCACCACTAGTACACTCACCACTCGTACACTCACCACTCGTACACTCATCACTAGTACACTCACCACTACACTCACCACTAGTACACTCATCACTACAATCACCACTAGTACACTCATCATTAGTATACTCATCACTACAATCACCACTCGTACACTCACCACTCGTACACTCACCACTAGTACACTCACCACTACACTCACCACTAGTACACTCACCACTAGTACACTCACCACTACACTCACCACTAGTACACTCACCACTAGTACAATCACCACTCGTACACTCACCACTCGTACACTCACCACTAGTACACTCATCACTACAATCACCACTAGTACACTCACCACTAGTACACTCACCACTACACTCACCACTAGTACACTCACCTCTCGTACACTCACCACTCGTACACTCACCACTAGTACACTCACCACTACACTCATCACTAGTACACTCACCACTACACTCAACACTCGTACACTCACCACTAGTACACTCATCACTACACTCACCACTAGTACACTCACCACTACACTCACCACTAGTACACTCATCACTACAATCACCACTCGTACACTCACCACTAGTACACTCACCACTCGTACAATCACCACTACACTCAACACTCGTACACTCACCACTCGTACAATCACCACTAGTACACTCACCACTACACTCAACACTCGTACACTCACCACTAGTACACTCATCACTACAATCACCACTAGTACACTCACCACTAGTACACTCATCACTACACTCACCACTAGTACACTCACCTCTCGTACACTCACCACTCGTACACTCAGCACTAGTACACTCACTAGTACACTCACCACTAGTACACTCACCACTAGTACACTCAATCACTACAATCACCACCAGTACACGCACCACTAGTACACTCACCACTAGTACACTCACCACTAGTACACTCACCACTCGTACACTCACAACTAGTACACTCCCTATACACTCACCACTAGTACACTCACCACTAGTACACTCATCACTACAATCACCACTAGTCCACTCATCACTAGTACACTCACCACTAGTACACTCACCACTACACTCACCACTCGTACACTCACCACTCGTACACTCACAACTAGTACACTCCCTATACACTCACCACTAGTACACTCACCACTAGTACACTCACCACTAGTACACTCACCGCTACATACCTGTCAACCCCTGATCAGTATGGACCTGAAAACTGACTTTCCCTGTTCAAGAATACGGGGTAAACCGTATGGGTTGACAGCTATGATATTGATTCGCTTCCCGCTGATGATATTACCAATCAAGATGTCATTGCATCAAACTCGGAGGAATTAGAGGGGGCGGGGCTAGGAGGGCGAGGAGGGGGGGCGGAGCTTACCCGGGGGAATGGGCGGAACCTCAGAGGCTGAATCCCCCTCCGTCGACTTGAATGGGGGTGGGCCGGCTCCTATGCAGATGCATCGGGGCCATAGCCTTCGCTGATTGGTCACCGTAACGGTGGTGGGTGGGTGGGTGGGGGGTGGTGCCCACGTGACCGCGGTCTTTATAAGAGCGCGCGCCACGACGGTTGTGGTTTTTTTTCTTCTCCTCCACTTGAAGTCACGTGACGGCGGTGTCTCGCCTGGGGTTGTCATTTGTATCGTTAATAATTTTCATTTTTTTATAGATTTTTCCGTTACAAATCCATTGATTTCGTCTCTAAAAAAATTCTATTAACGACGTGGCGGGAAGGTTTTAAATCGCGCTTCGTTGTGATCGCGTTCTTTGTTTTTTTTACAAAAACAATTCATTCCTTACCGATGTTGTTGGTGGTTACTGGGGCGCTATAAATGGCATAACAGGCAGCTCGGAAACTGCTGACGGATTTTTTTCGTAACTTAACCCTTTGGAAGGATACTCTCCTCCAGTTTACAAAAACTTTTAATTTTTTCCTCGAAGTAAAAATCCTAAAATTAATCATCTCTGGCCATTGTATTGTTTTTGCCCGTTCCTGATTGGTTGTCTCTTCTCACCAACGCTGATGCTTGCGCTCTGATTGGCTGTGGCTGATTCACTCATCACTTGCTTTTGATTGGCTGCCTCTGATCTTCTCTCTGATTGGCTCTTTCTATGTCGAACTGATCTCTGCTGTTTGGTTGGCTAATTACTCGTCAACGATTGGCTGTTCTCTCTGAATCCTCACCTCCCATTGGCTGTGGCTACCTAATTGACTCCTCTTTCATTGGCCCTACCTCATTTCCCCACTTCTTATCGCAAAACTAATTTCTGATCTCTAATTAGCTCTACACTGATCGCTGATCTCTCATTCGCCTTACAGCCGATCTCTGATTAGCTCTACACTGATCGCTAATCTCTCATTCGCCGTATAGCCGATCTCTGATTAGCTCTACATTGATCGCTGATCCCTGATTAGCCCTATAACCGATAACTGATTTCCTCTAAACTGATTGCCGATTTCCGATTGGCCGAATCAGCCGACCCCTGATTGGTTCAACGCCTACTTGCCGGTCCCTGACACCGCCGGTCTCCGATTGGCCGTGTCCGCTGATCGCCGGTCCCTGATTGGCTGTCGTCGTCGCAGAGACGGCGGCAGCAGCAGCAGCAGCAGGAGAAATCATGATGAGTCTGTCCCACCCGCTGCCCGAGGGCTTCACGGAGCTGGAGGTGTTCGCCTTCGGCACGGCGCTCCTCATCGAGGGTTCGACTCCCCCCCCCCCCCCCAGATCCCCCCCCAAACCCTCAGCCCCCCCCCAAACCCTCAGCCCCCCCCCAAACCCTCAGCCCCTCCCCAGACCCCCTCTTCTCCAGGACTACCTTTGGAGCACGACGGTGGCTCGGAGATGTTAACTACTTCGCCTGGTATGCAGAAGATTGTAGGTTTGATCCCGGAGCCTGCGATATGTTAACTACCTCGCCTGGTACACAGGAGGTCGTGGAGTCGACCCCCTCATCCCCCACACAGCCCCCCCCCCCCACCCAGCCCCCTCCTCCCCTCTCTACTCCCTGTCTATGTTCTATAGGGGTCGATACGTGCACTCGTCAATGGTACCCCCCTTAATAATATACCGTTCAGGACCGCCTTTGTATCCCTTTAGTAACACCTTTATATCCCCTTTGGAAACCTCTTGGGGACACCCTGTGCATTTATCTTAATTCTTGCTGTTTTGCATTAACCTCCACATTCTATAGACATCTTAATGCGATTATAGCCGTGTCTTCCTGTGTCTCTCTCTCCCAGTGTGTCTCTCTCCCCGTGTCTCTCTTTCCCAGTTCGTGTCTGTCCCCATCTATCTCTCCCCATCTCTCTCTCCGTGTCTCTCTCTCCGTGTCTCTCTCCCCATATTTCTCTCTCTCTCCGTGTATGTCTCTCTCCCGTCTCTCCGTGTGTAGCTCTGCTGGGTTTCGTCCTCTGCGGCCTCACCCTCCTCACGTTCCTCTGCGTGAGCGACGCCCGCACCCCCAGCCACCTACTGCTGCTCAACCTGAGCCTGGCCGATCTGGGGGTCTGCTCCAATGCGTTCATCGCAGCCATGTCCTCCTTCCTGCGGTGAGAGACCGAGAGAGGCACACGGAGAGAGAGAGAAGGACAGCGAGAGAGTGAGCGAGCGAGAGAGAGCGAGAGAGAGAGCGACATGGAGTAGGAAGAGAGGGGGTACAGAGAGAGGGGGGGCAGAGAGGGGGGTCGAGAGAGAGGGAAGGGGTAAGGAGAGCAGAGCGAAAAATATTTTGTTAAATCTTTCATTTAAAAAAGGGGGGGGGTTACGTAAAGCAAAGCATAAAAAAACTGAAATGATGAACGAAGCAAAGTGCCGAATACACCGAGCATCTTCTTGTTTCCTCTGATCGTAAAAAAAGAGAGAGACACGGGGAGAGTTAGAGAGGGGGGATAGAGAGACATGGGGAGAGAGACTTTTAACCAGCTTTTATTGCCGCCAGCAGCAACAGCACTGGAGGCGATTCCAATACGAAATAGTCACCAGCAAACAAATAACAAACACTATCAATCCATGCGCTGTGTCGCTAAATGCGCCGCGCACAACACTAAATAAAAGTCACGTGGTAGTGGTGGTGGTGGTCATTGCGCGCGCCACGGTGACGAACGAGCATTTCAGAAGGTGAACACGAGGGTGCCGTCCACGCTGGTACAAAGGGCTTTTCTGCCCCCCCCAGCATTCGAAGAAGACGCGCACATCACCGGCATGTGTGCGTTATTCGTACTCCAGCCGGAGTCGCGCCTTGAGCAGGCCACTGAGAGGGAGAGACACTGAGAGAGTTAGAGAGGGGAAAGAGACACGGGGAGAGTTCGAGAGAGACACGGAGAGACACGAGGAGAGAGACACGGGGATAGAGATTCACGGGGAGAGAGATTCACGGGGAGAAAGATTCATGGGGAGAGAGAAACACGGGGAGAGTTAGAGAGACATGGGGAGAGTTAGAGAGGGAAGAGAGACACGGAGAGACACGAGGAGAGAGATACGGGGATCGAGATCCACAGGTAGAGAGACACGGGGTGATATAGACAGGGAGAGAGATACACGGGGAAGTACAGAGACATGGCAGAGAGAGGCGATTTGCCATTCTGACACATTGCCTGATGAAGCTGGTTGTAGTAATCACCAGCAAAATGTTCAGTGACTCAAATTATAAATGCTGTGGGTTTAGTCTCCAACACACAACCTGTTAGTACTGAAGTAGCCACTAACTGGCATGTTTTGTTTAAGTGACAAACATTACGAATTGGCTGTGTTGGGTGGTGGTGGGTTAATGACACATTTATATTTATGCAATCTAACAAACAAACAAAATCTATAATCACTACCCCAACCCCTATCATAACCCCAACCCTTATGACTACCATAACCCTATCACTACCCCAACCCCTATCACTATCTCTAACCCTATCACTACCCCAACCCCTATCACTACCCCAACCCCTATCACTATCCCAACCCCTATCACTACCCTATCACTACCCTAAACCCTATCACAACCCCAACCCCTATCAATATCCCAATCCCTATCACTACCCCAACCCCTATCACTATCCCAACCCCTATCACTACCCTATCACTACCCCAACCCCTATCACTACCCCAACCCCTATCACTACCCCAACCCCTGTCACTACCCCATGGCAGCCATCACTCAGCCCACTCTTTTGTTAAGTGAGAAAGCAAGATGAATGCCATCAACGCACCAACCGAACATCAATCGTCATCGATCTCCCGGTTTCCACAACAACAATAACAATGCTAAGCCATGCCAGTGAGCTCCTCTTCCGGGCCAAACAATGACAACGCCAGATAGGCCATGGGACCTACAACTGAATATTGAGGGACCCTCTCAGGCGAAGTGCCCACATAATGTTGATGTTCTGAAGCTCCAAGAAAACCCATGTCTCGGATGCCAGTCGCAATACCACATCCACGGATATACAACCTAACGACTGTAGGCACCGCATATACATGAAGAACACCAGCGCAGAGTTCTACACCTTCCCACCAACTGAAAAAGAAGCCACCTACACCACCAGCATCGAGATAGGGGGAAGCTGCACACCGCCAACGTGGACAAAGACTCTAATTAAAAATAGCCAAAGCCAGCGCTCCCAAGTGCACTAATCCCAGGCCTATACGTCAGTAACTTTAACAGCCATCGTACTATGTGGGGGCTATCCAGGAGATCAGGCTGATGGTGAAGACCTCACCGACTGGATGCCCGCCGAAGATCTGCAACATGGTTTTCGATCCCAAGCAACGCGACTGCAACCCAGACCTCGCCTTTGTTTCCAAAGATCAAAGTGGGAGCACACTTCACGTATCCCACAAAATACTTCCAAGCTTAACCTAAAGTCAGCATGGGGCCCATCATCACGCACATTGCCATCAAAATCCCCGTGATTGTGTCAAAACTACTATCAAGGTGGAACCCGGTCAAAGATAACTGGGACCATTATAAGGAAACTGTAGAGAAAGCAGTGAGTCGAATGCCCACGAGATCGGAATGCTATCACCATTTTGTTGGCCTCCTTACTGCAGCTGCCAAGAAGAGTATCCTCCAAGGCTTCTGGAAATATAATCCACTCCCTTGCTGGACAAAATAGACCCAGGACCTGCTCCCACAGTACAACCAGTCGGGCAGCCCACAGGTTGGAAGGGCCCTGCTAGAGTCTTTAGACTCGGCCAGGCAGATGCCAGTGGTAGATTGAGTGCATTGAAGGCCCTCAATTTCCCACACTCCAGCCGCTGTACCTGGGCGTGAGTGCTGCTAACCCAGCAGAGAATACCGGACAGCAAGACTCCAACTCTGTAGCCCCCAAACTAGTGGAGAACACAAAAGGAACGCTCGGTAAAAAACATCAAGCGAGAGATCCATCATCAATTATGTATGAATGTACTATGTTGGAATTTCTTTAGTACCATACGTAGCCAACCGTGCTCATTGGAGGTGAGGGGTGTTAATCGGCACTGAGGATGTGAGGGAGGGGTCTGGCTGCAATGAAGAAAGGCAAGGCTTGCCGGCAGAGATGGTATCCACCCCCCAGAATTTCTCCATCACTTAGGCCCTAGAGGACTCCAATGGCTGGCAAAACTGTACACCAGAAACATGTAAAACCGGATGCATCTGAAAAGCATGGCAGGAGGCAATGGTCATTGGTATACCCAAACCGGGCAAGCCAACCAACGACCCGGGAAGCAATAGACTGATAGCACTACTGTGCATGATCTAGAACCTCCTGGAACACATCATCCTCTGGGAAATCGGTCCCCTCGTGGAGCAGGATTATGGCCTGGACACAGATGCAGCTGCTGTGACCAAGTTTTGGCTCCTTGTAGCCTTCGTGGACTTTTCATCAGCCTCTGACACGTTTCTGGATTAAGGGGCTTGATGTTGACGCTCACATGGGCCATTTCCTGCCTCGAAACAATACGCCCTGATATCGACGATGCTGAGCAGCTTAGGCGACTGTGCGTCTATACGGGGCGACAAATCCAGCTCAACCTGGTTCATCAACAATGGATTGCCAGAAGGTTTAATACTCACACCAATGCTTTTCAATGTCTACACAAGCGACATTCCACCAACCAGATCACACAAATGTGTGTATATGCGGATGACCTTGCCCAGGCAACGCAAGCAGCCATTTTCTACGACATCGAATCCACTCTGAACCAACAAGACCTAAACACCATGGGGGAATATTTCTGTAAATGTTTGGCTGAAGCCAAATCCACAGAAAACAACAATCCCTGCATTTCATCTTGATAATAGGAGCACCAAGCACACTCGAAAAATGACCTTCTGCGGCAAAAACTCTATGTAACACGACCCCACTCCATCCTCTCTTGGAGAGTGAAGCTGGACCGACCATACGCTAACCTTCGACAGCCACCTGAAAAAGGTAGACGCCAAGACCAAAACTAGGGTCGAACCTGGTCCAGAAACTGGCAAGTACAAGCTCGGGAGCATCGATGGCCCTTGTGTATTCTGTAGCCGAGTACTCTGCACCAGCATAGATAAGAAGTAGTCCCACTCGACTTGATGTCAAACCGAGCACTGCAATGTAGTGGTGTATCACTGGAACCCTCAAGTCAACCCCAACACCCTGGCTGCCCGTGCTGTCATAAATCTCTCCTCCCCACCCATCCGCCACGACGCTGCAACCCTCTGGAAAGTTCCATGAATGGAGGAAAATGGCCGCCTTCCCATTCACTAGGACCTCAATAACGTCTCTCTTTATCGCTTGAAGTAATGCCGCAAGCCCTTTTGGACCCTATGTGCTTAAGCTTCAATAATGCGAGTTCAACCCCCATGAGGAGAGCTGAATGGATTTGAAAATAACTCGCAAACATCTTCTTGGTTTTTTCGGTAAAGTCGGTAAAGTCACGTAGAAGGGAAATAATAAAATAATAAAAATAAAACATTATATTTTATTTTTTTATTTGAAATCATCACTGGCGATGATTGCTTGTGTTGCAGTCGAAACGTCGTGATAATTTAATTGTTTTATATATTTTTTATTTTATTATTTCCCTTCTACGTGACTTTACCGAAAGAACCAAGAAGATGAATCCCTGCAGTCACGAAAGCTTTAAATCGAAATTTAACTCGCAAACAAACATGACGTTGTTCTGAAAGACCCAACGCAGAATATCCTTGGATTTGATCTTCCACGAAGCACATGATCCACCCCTAAACCGCATCCACTGCAAAACCATGGTTGCAGATGCGGACATCTGATGCACAAATGGAAAATTTTCAAAACATCAGTAGTGTGCGACTGTGGTCATCCAGAGCAGACCGTACAACATATAACGACGCAATGCCCTGATCCACACATACAAATGAGACATCACAGCGATACACTCCGCTGGCTCCTGACATGGTTATCTAGCTTGACCACCTGAATGTGAAATTGTAGTTGTAGCTCTGTATTTAAATCAGCCATACGGAAAAAGATCTCACCATTTTATTCCTCTCGATTAAATAGTCGTTTCGAGTTCTGGATGCCCACAATCGCTCACTGAAGAGTTTTACATTTTCCAAAGTGATCAAAAATAGTGTTTGAGGGAAAATATGACACAAGAAGTGATGCAGATAAATTGATCAAGTGGTGCGATATTATTCTAATAACATTCATGCATTTAATAGCTCCCCGTGTCTTTCACCCTCTTCCTCATGTTCAAATCTCTCTCCCCGTGTCCTCCTCTCTCCCCATCTCCCTGCATCCCCGTGTCTCCCCAGCCACTGGCCGTGTCTCTCACCCCATATCTCTCTCCCCGTGTCTCTTATTCTTTCTCTCTGTCTCTCATCTCCCTCTCCCGTCCCTCTCTCCCAGTGTATTTCTCTCCCTGTGTTTCCCTCTCTCCGCATCCCCGTGTATATTTCTCCCTGTGTGTCCCCCTCTCCCCCCACGTCTCTCTCTCCTCGTGTCTCTCTCCCCATGTCTCTTTCCCCATGTCTCTATCTCCGTATGTCCCCCTCTCCCCCTGTGACTCTGTGTCCCCTGCGTGCCTCTCTCCCCATGTCTCCATGTCTCTCTTCCTGTGCGTCTCTCCCCAGCTACTGGCCATACGGGCCCGAGGGCTGCCAACTGCACGGCTTCCATGGCTTCGTGACAGCACTCTCCAGCATCAGCACCATGGCCGCAATCGCCTGGGACCGTCATAGCACCCACTGCTGCCGTAATGCTCACCCACCCGATCACCCGCTCAGTCGCTCACTCATTCAGCCATCCGCTCACTCACTCAGTCACTCACCCGCTTACTCACTCAGCCAGTCACTTGATCGCCCACTCAGCCACTCACCCACTCACTCACCCACTTACTTACCCACTCGCTCACCTACTCACTCGCCTACTCATCCATTCACTCACATACCCACTCGCTCACTTATCGACTCGCTCACTCACTCAGTCACTCACCCGCTTACTCACTCAGCCAGTCACTTGATCGCCCACTCAGCCACTCACCCACTCACTCACCCACTTACTTACCCACTCGCTCACCTACTCACTCACTCGCCTACTCAACCATTCACTCACATACCCACTCGCTCACTTATCCACTCGCTCACTCACTCAATCACCCACCCACCCACTTGCTCACCCGCCCACTCACGCACTCGCAAACTTGCTTACTCATTTAATCTCGCCAAGTCTCTCCCGGAGTCTTTCTCACTCTGAGTCTCTCAATGTTTGAGACTCTCTTTCAGTTTCTCTGTCTTAGACTATCTCTATGTCTCTCTGTATCCATCCCTCTCTCTGACTCTCTCTGAGTCTCTCTCTCGAGCCTCTCTCTCTCTCAGTCTCTCTGACTATATTTCTGACTCTCTCTGTGTGAAGGTGCCCAGACCCGCTGGTCCACCGCCGTGTGCCTCTGTTCCTGGGCATGCCTTAGCTCTCAGAGTCTCTCTGAGTCTCCCTCTGAGTCTATCTGAGTCTCTCTCTCAGTATATACAAGTTTCTCTCTCTCTCGGAGTCTTTTTGAGTCTCTCTCTCTGAGTTTCGGTCAGTCCCTCTCTCTGTGTCTGAGTCTGTCTTTGCCCTTACTCTATCTGACTTTCTATCTATATCTCTCACGCTGGGAAGTGGGCGTGTCCTCGTGCTGCTCCCTGCTATCTGCCCAAATGGCCTGGTTGTTCCTCCATCCTAACCTCATCTCAGAGTTAACACACCTTTGGTGGACACATTTATTTTCATCTAGGAGTCGAATTGTGTCCGCAAATCTTCCCTCCTTCACTGTAAGTCGTGGTGTTATTTATTTCAGTTTTTCTGGTGATTTTATGTCCACACGGCGCTCGCCACGCTGCAGGCCTGCTCATGTTAACAGGCCGATCTCTCTCTCTCTCTTCCCCTCCTCTCGTCTTACAACTCTCATTGTTTAGTATCCTATTGTTCGAATCACCTTTGTTTTACTGGTGCCGTTCCTATATCGTAAAGGCACAATATGATAAGTACAAGGCTCTCACTCGGAAGAATGTCCTCATTTGCATTCCTCTAGTGGAGGTCAGTGTGGAGGACGGGCCTATCCTCCTGCTGGGGACTCTGTGAGTCTGGCGAGTATTCTCGCTGCCTCACGCATGAACCGTGGTGTGGTCCTGTTTCTGGCCAAGAAGATTTGGTGGCGCACGTCGTGGAGACGGAGCTTGAACGTCAAGGGGGGAGCTGTTTGTGCAGTGCACTCCTCTGGCTTCCCCCGCCGTTAAAGTCCTCATCTCAAACGCCCCACCCTTCCCCAAAAAATTCTGATCCGCAACGAGATCTCCAGCAGTTTGGGAAAATCGTCTCCCGCATCATCATGGTGCCCTTGAAGGGACGGCAGCAGAAGCTGGTGCACATCGTGTCCTTCCAGCGCCGAACGTTCATGATTTTGAACGACCTCAACGCTGAACTGGGATGTGACCCTCAACTGTACGGTGGACAGGCACATCTACACCATGTACATGTTGACTGAGGTGCAGCGGTGCTTCGGGTGCAGCGGTGTCGGCCACGCAGCAGGCCGGTGACTCGGTGGACATCCGCACCAAGCCGTCAACTGAAAGTGAGGACGGCCTCACCAGTCGAGTCACGAAAGTGTAGTGCAAATGGCAGCCCTACCGGAGGAGGGTGCGCTGCCACTAGGCCCAAGTGTGCAGTCAGTGTGCAGTCACCGCTGATGATGAGCCCGATGCACCTGAAGCAGTGAAGGCCGAGGAACGACCTCCAGCGGACGGTGTCTTAGACGTTTCTGGGGGGGGGGGGGGGGGGGAGCGATGCCAGCAAGTGTCGTCGATGACAGCCTAGGGGGAGTAGGCATGGTGGAAGAGGCCCGACCAGCGGATGCTGCCTCGGCTGCCTCTGAGCAAGAGGGGCTGCTGGCCAACGCAGCATCTGATGGTGCCACGGTGCTGGAGGGTGCCAGCCAGTTCACCTCACTCGAGGAGGTAGCTCTAGAGCCTCAGGGCCACCCCGATTCGGTTGAGGCCCTAATGTTTGTGTCGGCAGAAGAGGAGTCTGCTGAGCCACAAGCGATAGTGCACATGGACTCTGATGACGAATTGGCAGAATTCGATGTAGGCGACAACGTGAGTGAGTTGAGCTTCTCACAAATCAATGGCGATCGTGAATATGCGCCATAGAAGATCCAAGATTTTCTGCAGTCCACCTTCAGGAGTGTGGGGTTAAGGTCGAGGTCTTCTTCCCAGATGTGATGGGCTTCCCAAAGACCTTCCAGACCAGCATGCACATCGGCCTTTTGTGAGCAAAAACATGCAGCACTTCTCACAAATGGATTCTCCCTCAAAATGTTTTGCTTACAAAATAAACCAGTGAGCAATAACAACATTTTAAAGTTACAACCCCCAGATGGAGAAACAGTCACATCTGAGAGGCAATTTGCTAAGATCGTGAGGGAGTTATATTCTGACTTATTTACTGCTGAAGGCATACAAGACAGGGCTGTCCAGGAGTTGCTTGACAGAGGCCCTACCCCCTAGGACACTGAAAGGGAGCGTCTTGACAGCCCGGTCACCCTGAAGGAGCTGCACGCCGCTGTGAAAGGGCTCACATCCGGTAAAGCCCCAGGGATTGATGGCCTGCCAGTAGAGTTTTATGCAGCCTTTTGAGATGAGCTCAGCCCCTGCCTACTGGAGTTGTTGATGGATAGTCTGCTGAAGGGTGAACTCCCACAGTTGCAGGAGAGCGGTGGTCACCCTGCTGCCTAAGAGGGGGGATCTGCACCTCATTGAAAACTGGTGACCCGTGCCGCTATTGTGGGCCAATTATAAAATATTCTCCGAGGTGCTGGCAAACCGTCTCAAGATTATATTGGGTCAGCTGATCTAGCCTGAACAGTCATATTGTATCCCCGGCCGGTGCATACATGATTGCATCAGTACGGTCAGATATATAATTTCCCTTGCAGAAAGGCCTCCTCTTCTTATATCAGAAGAAGGCTTTTAATAGTGAGTCCTGAGTACCTGGGTAAACTGCTAGCGTCGTTCGGCTTTGGCCAGGTATTTATTTATTACATGAGGCTCCTGTACACGGCACTTGCAGTCTCCTGAATATCAACCAGCCGCTCGGTAGCCCTTTTCCTGTGATGAGGGGAGTCAGACAGGGATGCCTTCTCTCGGGGCACCTGTATGCCCTGTCTATTGAGCCACACCTACGCCACCTGAGACAAACTCCGTCTGGCTTCAAGGCTCCAGGACCTGAAAATGCAGTTATCAGGGTCTCTGCATACACAGACGACATGCATCGTGGTCAATGCGCAGGGTATGTATGCACTCTGCCAGGTAGTGGTAGTGTACGAGAAGGCCTCTTGTGCCAGGGTCAACTGGACCAAGTGTGAGGCTCTATGTTTGGGGTCACAGTGCGGCGTGCATTGTGTTTCCTCCCAGGAAGAGTCAGTTGGCAGGCTGATGGTATGAAGTACCTGGGAGTGTACCTGGGGAAACCACACGTGGCAATTGGACCAAGCTGCCCAGCGTAATTGAGGGTAAATTGCTGGCATGGGCACACCTCGCTCAACAGATGTCCTTTAGGGGATGAGTGCTCATCGCCAATCACCTCACAGCATCTGTGCTGTGGCACAAGACCAAAACTCTCCAGCCTCCGGGCTGGATACTCATGAGAGTGAACCGGTCACCCGCGCAATTTGTATGGCATGGGAAGCACTGGCTCAGGTCAGGGGTTCTCTACTTGCCAGTGGGTGATGGTGGCCAGGACCTGGTGGATGTCTCTGGCAGGGTGATGAGCTTGAGGCTTCTGGTGGTGAGGCGGCTGCTCTACAAACTGGAGGAGCTACCCTAGAAGTCGCCAGCCCTCAGCCTGCTAAGAAAGATGCAGGGGGGCGCCTGGGGTACGGAAGGGATCTCTTCCTGTTAGATCTGGGCCTGGGTCGACTATAAGACACTGCCAGGTTATTACCAGAGCCTTTTGGACGCATGGCGGAGCTTTTAGTGTAGCAGGGCATGCACGCACTATGACCTCAAACATTTATTGAATGAGTCCTTGTTCTGCAATGGCCGCTTCAAAGGGATCAGAGGAGAGAGGACTCTGGCTCTACATTTCACCTCAATAGGGGTGGGGACAGTCATCAACCTCGTGAAGGGCCACAAGTAGACATGGATCGCCAGCACTGCGGGACTCCGCTCCATGCGTGCCGGGGAGAAGCTGTTGTGGGACATGCTTGGAGCCATGCAGGAGCTGTGTTTGAAGCTGGAGGCACTGGAGGACAGGTGCGGTCACCCCTCCTCCTTCCTGGAGTTGCACTTCTCCTGCACACAGCCTCCCGGGCACAATTCACTGGGAAGCTACTGAAAGCCCGGAGGCTGCAGGGACGTGTCTCTGAAGAGCGCCCCAAGGAAAGCGCTCTACACGTGCTGGGTGAAGGTGCTGCATTTTCAGGACCTGGTGAATCCAACAGACATAAAATTGAGAAATAATTTCTCTGCCTTAATTCAGGCCGCCCCCCAGATGTACAAGCCTCCCATATCCAAACACTGTGATGACCTCCAGGGGAGGTTATCGCACTGGATGGTGCCCTCAACCATGAGGCTCAGCCGAATCTCCCTTGGGACACCAGACTTTTCTGTGTTCTGCGGAGCCAAGGAAGATCTGGCCCACCAATACTTGGGGTGGCTGTGGCTCAACCTATTGTTCCGGCTTTTGGGGTCTATTTTCACGAGACTGGAGGTGGCTTTTTTACAAAAGCAGCTTCATATATGGGGCAGTGCCTTACCTGGCAAGTAAGCGCCATGATCTTGCAAACTTTGTGCCCAAGCAAAGATGGCGGTTTACAAGACTAGGAAAAAGTTGCTGCAAGGCGACACTAACGGCTGCACTGAGGTGGCAATGTTGAGGGGCCTGGTCAAGACACGACTCCAGCTAGAGCACGCCGTACCACTTCAATGCCGGGGACACGCACATGTTTGTTGAACCGTTGGGGGCCGGTCAAGCCGTCTGCACCAACGCAAACAGCATTCTTTATTTGACTTTTTTAACGAGGTTAGTTGTTGCGCGTGTCGTGGGTAACGACGTAGTGTTGTGATGTGCGTGCCATGTGCAGTGCATGTGCCTTGGGTAGTGTTTGTTATGTGCACACGTGATGCTGTATTCGATGTGACTTGTATCGAAATTGGAACCAGTACTTTTGCTACTGACAGCAATAAAATTGGTTTAAAAATCTATATCTCTCTCTCTATTTCTCTCTGTGTGTGAAGGAGCCCGGACCCGCTGGTCCACCGCCGTGTTCCTCTGTGCCTGGACGTGGCTCAGTTCTGCGTTCTGGGCAGCGATGCCGCTGCTGGGTTGGGGCCGCTACGACTATGAACCCCTCCATTCGTGCTGTACCCTGGACTACACGCAGGCGGATGGGTGAGTGAGAGAGAGAGGGGGGAAAGGGGAGAGGGGGAGATCCATAGACGTGGGGGGAGAGAACCCCTCCACTCATGCTGCACACTGGACTACACGCAGGGTGACTGTTAAGAGGGAGGAGAGGGGGAGACGGGGAGATGGTGGGAGGGGAGATGGAGAGACATGTGGAGAGAACCCCTATACTCATGTTGCATACTGGACTACATGCAGGGGGATGAGTGAGTGAGAGGGGGCGGGGAGAGGTGGAGAGCGTGAGGGAGATGGTGGGGGGGGGAGAAGGGGGGGGGGGAGAGGGTGGGGAGAGGGGGGAGGTATGGAGAAGAGGGGGAGGAACAGGGAAGAGAAGGAAGAGAGAGAGAGTGATGGTGTCTCCATGTCTCTCTCCCCCCATTTATTTCTCTCTGTCTATCTCTCTCTATCTGTGTGTGTGTCTCTCTTTCTCTCTAGGAACTTCATCTCGTTTGTACTGCCTATGGCGTTCTTTAACTTCGTGGTGCCCGTGTTCATCATGGTCACCTCGTACAACGCCGTGGAGCGCAAGTTCAAGAGGACTGGCCACAAGGTGAGACCAGCAGCATCTCTCTCCCCATATGTATCTCTCTCTCCACGTGTCTCTCCCCGTGTTCCTCTCATGGTGTGTCTCTCTCCCCATATCTCTCTCTCTCTCTCTTTCCCCATATCTCTCTCCCCGTATCTCTCCTGCCCCGTGTCTCTCTAGCTTGCAACTTTCATCAGCTAGCTGAGACCGGGCCACTATGTTTGAATGGGATCCTAGATTTACACTCAACACTGGAGTGGAAGAATGGCAGGTGCTTCATCTTACAGATGACAAGCCGATGGTCAGTGGGCAGATCAGCGCCACGGTAGGTCCTGGTGTCACAGACATGGGCCCGCATCCGCTGTTCTGTCACAATATAGTCCAGCAGATGTTCTTGCTTGGACCTGGAATGTATCCATGATGCTTTGTGCATGCGCTGATGCCGGAACAGCGAGTTGGTAATTAAAAGCCCATGGGCTGCACAGAAGTTTGGCAGCCTCCTACCATCGTTATTGAGCTGATCTGGCCCATGCCTTCCAATCACTCCAGCCCAGGTGCCAGTTTCATGACTCACTCTGACATTAAAGTCACCCAACAGGATGAGTATCCCGAGGGGCCACTTTAGCCATCACCTGTGACAAGTGGTCATATATGTCATCTGACTCATCGGCCTTGCCTGCATCCCTCCACTGATGTTCATCTTCGGTGGGGGCATAAGCAACTACCACCATTCCTCACCACTTGTTGATGGGGAGACGAGCCCACAGTAGCCTGGGACTTGCAGCTTCACTGCCAAGCACCCACACCCCCTTCATTCTTTTGTTCAGAAAAAGAACCACTCCCTCTTTTTTGGCAGTCTCCTGCCCTGAGTAGAGGACTTTCCACCCCTCCAGGTGACTGAAGCCAGAGCCGGTCCACCAAAATCTCCTGAATACCACAGAGATCCAGGTGGTACCAGTCCAGCTCCCAAGAGAGGAGTAGCAGCCTCTTCTTTACAGTGAGCATTTGACCATCCACGTGGTTACTCACAGTGGTGTTTGCCATTTCGAGAGGAACCCCGAGGGTGCGGGTTCAGTCTGCTGGCTCTGCCGAATGGGGTTTGACCAGCAGAGGTCATAGACGCCTGTCCCCCCCGGGGCCTCTGGCTCAAGCTTAGTTAGACATTTGGTGCACGTTTCCATGGTGACTGAATTTCAGGTTGAGGGGTTACCAGCCCCTCGTGCACATCCAGAACTCCCGTTGGCCGCTGTGGTGGCTAAGAGCGCTATGTGGGGAACAGCTGATTGGAATCGGCCTTCCCCCCATGGCATTGCTCACAGACACGACAGCATTACCCCATATCTCCTCACGTCTCTCTCTCTCTCTCCGCGCATCTCTCCCTGTACCTCACTGCATGTCTCTTTCTCCCCGTGTCTCTCTTTTTTTTTACGATCAGAGAAAACAAGAAGATGCTTTGTGTATTCGGCACTTTGCTTCGTTCATCATTTCTTTTTTTTAATGCTTTGCTTTACGTAACCCCCCCCACCCCCCCTTCTTAAATGAAACATTTAACAAAATATGTTTCGCTCCGCTCTTCTTACCCCTTCCTTCTCTCTCTACCCCCCTCTCTGCCCCTTCCTCTCTCTATACCCCCTCTCTTCCTACTCCCTATCGCTCTCTCTCGCTCACTCTCGCTCACTCTCTCGCTTTCTTTTTTTTTAACTACAAGTGCTGCATCTGCACACAGCCCTTCTCGCAGTCCGACGGCCTCCGACGGGTAGCTCATAACTGCATGCAGAGCTCCCTGTCATCTGCCACCGATCACACGGCCTCCTCCATCGCCCACTGCTCCTTGAAGGCCGGCACGGCGTGGGTCAGCCGCGCATGGCGGAACTCCAGCCACACCCTGGCTCCGACCAGAGCGCGGAAGACTCTTCCCTTGTATCTTTCTCTCTTCCCGTATCTCCCCGTGTCTCTGTCACAGTGTCTTGCTCTGTCCCCGTATCTCCCAACGTGTCTCTCTCTCTGCGTATCCCTCTTGTGGGGGCCGTTGGCCCCCGGGGTCCCTCCCGCCTGCATCCCCTATTCCGTTTACGTTACCCCACCTCCCTATTACCCGCTATGGTTTCGCCGGCATTCGAACGCGACGCCCCTACTATTACAGCCTCGCGCCGCGCTCCCACGCTGCGAGCATACGTGCGCGCATCATCATCAATCAAACGCCGTGCTCGCAGTATAGCCCTGTGCGGCACGTTACCAATGCGCATCCGTATCCGACACGTAACGAACGTATGCGCACTCCCACACACAGCTCTGCGCGGCACTCACTCAACACTGACCACCCACGTTAGGATCGCGCACCTGTATTATACACGTCGTGAACGTGCGCGCACACACATACAGCTCCACACGCGATACCCACTCTTGCGCCGCTCTGCGCCGCGCTGGCCGCTCATGTTACGATCGCGCACCTGGGGTACGCCGATTACGCACGCCTAGAGCTTACGCAAGTAACGAGCACACGCAAGCGGGGCACACGCCGACACAACGACTCAAGTTGCCGCCGCCGTGCACGCGAGACAAACCATACAACAATGCGCAGCCGATTACGCGCTCGAGCCGCGGGGTTGGGGGTCAGGGGCCCACCACTGCGCCGCACTTTACGCAAGTAACGAGCACACGCAAGCTCGCACAAAGCTAACAGCTTCACTGCGCACCGCGGTTTCGCACACGCGAGCGGGGTGCACGCCGACACGACGACTCGTCCCCTCCCGCACTCGTGCGTGCACGTCAACACAAGTATCGTACAAGGACGATTCTCCTCTCACACGGCTGCGTAGGCACGCCAACACACAAAAGTGCTCTCCCCGGGCGTTAACACACACACCTCCGTACCCGCACAATCGTACAGAGACCACGGCCTTTACGCATACAACGACCACACACCCGCGAATGCAGTGCACGCTAATACCACGTTCAAAAACACCCAACAACACGGTTTTGTTACTACGCTCGAGATTTTATTAGCCCTTGTTAACCCACCGAGCCACCCGTGTGTGTGTGCGGGCCAGCAAGGCGCTTCTAACCCACTCTCTGGTGGCGTGCAGCCCTATTCTATGCTGCGCTCTCTGTTAAACCGCTTTCCTACTCGTCCTTACCCCGAACTAACCCTCTCCTACGGATCCTACTCTCCGCTCTGAGGTGTTGTAAGGCGCGTAATACGATACCGTCTGTAGTCCTTGGTGACCTTGCGGCGCTCAGATCGTCCTGCAGACAATCTAGCGGCTCGCCCGATGACTCCCTCGTCGCTGACTCCGTGTCAAAACTCCAGAAGAAGAGAGTTCCCTACTGCCCCTGCGTTTTCTTTTAAACTATCCACATCAAAGGCTAGGCGCCCCCGTCCCGACCGCCTTGGTCTCTCGACCAATCCTGAGCCTAGGATTTCTCGCCCTTTTGCGATCCCGCCGGCCTTTGACCTTTTGACCAATCAGTAGCCCCGGGTCCTGATCCCAGCTATCCGCCTTGCTGGCCCGTGTTTGTGTTTGTATGCGTTTCTAACTGCGGGGCTCTCTGAGCTCACCGTGGTCGTGCGATCTCAAATCCGCCCACGGCGCCGCAGTGTTACTTGGCCTGGGAAGGGTCCTGTCCAATTCCCTGGCCCTGAGAAACCGTGGGGTAACCCCCCGAGGGGGCCCTCGGGTGAAAACTCAGGGTAGGTGACCCGACCACGAGGCCCTACGTGGGTGCGGGTGCGTGCTTATGTGGGGGGGGGTGATGGGGGGCAGTGCGGTGGTGGAAGCCGGGCGGCTCCCTGGCTCGGCAGAGCGGCCCCGTCGCTGTGGCACCACACTCTCCCCATGTGTGGACAGCACCCTCATGTTCACCTTCTGAAGCACTCGCTCGTCACCGTGGCGTGCGAGATGACACCACAACCACGTGACTTTTCTTTTGTATTGTGCGCGGTGCTTTTAGCGCCACAGCGCGTCGATTTGTAGCGTTTATTTTAATTTGTTTGCTGGTGACTTTGTGTATTTCATATTGAAATCGCCTCCAGTGCTTTTTGCTGCTGGCGGCAATAAAAGTTGTTTAAAAGTCAAAAGTCTCCCCGTGTGTGTGTATCTCTCTCTGTCTCAATGTGACTTTTAAACAACTAAAGTCAAGTTCTTCTTGGTTCTTTCGGTAAAGTCGTCACGTAGAATGGAAATAATAAAATAATAAAAATTAAACATAATAAAATAATTCTCACGACATTTCGGCCACAACGCAAGCAGCCGTCCTCAGGTGGAGAACAGGTCTGTCGGAAAGACAGCGTCTGAATGTCTTCTCGACAGACCTGTTCTCCACCTGAGGACGGCTGCTTGCGTTGTGGCCGAAACGTCGTGAGAATTATTTTATTATGTTTAATTTTTGTTACTTTATTATTTCCATTCTACGTGATGACCTTACCGAAAGAACCAAGAAGATGAATCCCTGCAGTCACGAAAGCTTCAAATCGAAATTTAAAGTCAAGTCTGTCTCAATGCGTCTCTCTGTCTCTCTGTTTCCCAGTTCAGGACGTCTCTCCCCGTGCTCTCCCTGGTGCTCTGCTGGGCTCCCTACGCTGCCCTCTGCCTCTTCGCTTGCGTCCACAACCCCCTCGTCATTCCTGCCAAGTTCCGCATGGTGAGCATCGCTCACCACTCGCTCCTCACCCACTCACTCAGCTCTCTACACTCATCTCTCTACACTCACTCACCACTCACTCACTTATTCAACACCCATATCTCCACGCTCACCACTCACTCACCCATCTCTCTACACTCACCACTCACTCACCCACCTCTCTACACTCACCACTCACTCACCCATCTCTCTACACTCACCACTCACTCACCCATCTCTCTACACTCACCACTCACTCACCCATCTCTCTACACTCACCACTCACTCACCATCTCTCTACACTCACCACTCACTCACCCATCTCTCTACACTCACCACTCACTCATCTCTCTGCACTCACTCGGCTCTCTACAGTCACTCACTCATCACTGACTCACCACTCACTCACTTATTCAACGCCCATATTTCTCCACACTCACCACTCACTCACCCATCTCTCTACACTCACCACTCACTCACCCATCTCTCTACACTCACCACTCACTCACCCATCTCTCTACACTCACCACTCACTCACCATCTCTCTACACTCACCACTCACTCACCCATCTCTCTACACTCACCACTCACTCATCTCTCTGCACTCACTCGGCTCTCTACAGTCACTCACTCATCACTGACTCACCACTCACTCACTTATTCAACGCCCATATTTCTCCACACTCACCACTCACTCACCCATCTCTCTACACTCACCACTCACTCACCCATCTCTATACACTCACCACTCACTCACCCATCTCTTTACACTCACCACTCACTCACCCATCTCTCTACACTCACCACTCACTCACCCATCTCTCTACACTCACCACTCACTCACTCACCATCTCTCTACACTCACCACTCACTCACCCATCTCTCTACACTCACCACTCACTCACCATCTCTCTACACTCACCACTCACTCACCATCTCTCTACACTCACCACTCACTCACCATCTCTCTACACTCACTCACCAATCACTCTACACTCACCACTCACTCACTCATCTCTCTACACTCACCACTCACCCATCTGTCTACACTCACCCATATCTCTACACTCAACACTCACTCACCCACACATTCACTCTCCGTGCCTACCTCTGTCTGTCTCACGCTCCCTTCCTCTCTCTCCCTCTCTATCTCCTCCAACTGCATCTCCCCATCTCCCTCCTCTCCCCCCATCTGCCTCCTCTCCACCCCCCAATCTCCCTCCTCCCCTCCCTCTCCCCAATCTCCCCCCATCTTCCCCCCCTCTCCCCCATCTCCCCCCCATCTCCCTCCTCCCCCCCCCTCTCCCCCCATCTTCCTCCTCCCCAATCTCCCCCCTCTCCCTCCTCTCTCCCCCCATATCCCCCCCATCTCCCTCCTCCCCCCCTCTCCTCCCATCTTCCTCCTCTCCCCCCATCTCCCCCCCCCCAATCTCCCTCCTCTCCCCTCCCTCTCCCCGCTCTCCCCCCCGCCATCTCCCTCCTCTCCCCCCCCCTCTCCCCAATCTCCCCCCCATCTCCCTCCTCTTTCCCCCCCCCATCTCCCTCCTCCCCCCCTCTCCCCCCATCTCCCTCCCTCTCCCCCCCATCTTCCTCCTCTCCCCCCCCATCTTCCCCATCTCCCCCCCCTCTCCCCCTCTCCCCCCGCCCCCCACCTCCCCTCCCCCCCCAGATCCCCGCGGTGCTGGCTAAGACGTCTCCCACCGTCAATGCGCTGCTCTACTCTCTGGGCGGAGGCGGGCAGGGATTCCGTGGCTCAGCCTGGACTCTGCTCACGGGCGGCGCCAAGCAGCCGCAGACCCCAGAGCAGCACAGCAAGGACAAGTAGTGACCCTTTAACAACAACACACAGGGGGCGTGTCCCTTTAACATCAACAACACACAGTGATGTCCCTTTAATAACAACGACCAGAGAGGGGTGTGCATTTAGTAACAGCCAGGAGGAGTGTCTATTTAAGAACAGGGGTCCATTTAAGACCGATCATCAAAACATCGCGTGTCCCTTTAACACCAAACAGGGCGGAGGGGGTCCTTTATCACAATGGGTCCCTTTAATACGCAGGCGTCCCTTTAAGAACAGGGGGCCCCTTTAAGGCAGGTCACCAAAATAGGCACCCTTTAAGAACACGGTTTCCTTTAAGGCTGGAGGGGGTCCATTAAAGACGGGTTACAAAACAGGGACCCTTGACGAGAAGAACAGTTCCCTTTAAGACCAGGGGACACTTTAAGACCGGTCACCAAAATAGGTACCGTTTAAGAGCATGGTTCCCTTTAAGACCAGAGGGTCTGTTAGAGATTGAGGTCGTCAGCCGACATGGAGGCGCTGACACAGCGCTCTGAAAAAAGGGTCATCGCCCGAAACGTCGCCTGTTATTTTATATCTATTACCGTAGCCGAACCGTGTCCAATTTAACACCACGGGTCGATCCCAATTATAGCGGTTTCTCCCGTAACCCCGCTCTCCCTGTATCCTAACTCTCCTCCCCTAACCCATTAATTTAATTGAAGAGACGGGGTAGGTCCTTAATTAGCCCCCCACCATCCCCCCTCCCCCTATTAATTAGCTAGGGCCCCCCAATCCAAATCTGTCGATCAGCGACTGCTGCTGGTTGGAATAAAGTCTCAGTGTAAATCTCTCGAGGCTCGTCTCACTCTGAGTGGGTGAGTGGGTGGGTGAGTGGGTGAGTGAGTGGGTGAGTGGGTGAGTGAGTGAGTGGGTGGGTGAGTGGGTGGGTGGGTGAGTGAGTGAGTGGGTGGGTGGGTGGGTGAGTGGGTGGGTGGGTGGGTGAGTGAGTGGGTGGGTGGGTGGGTGAGTGAGTGAGTGGTTGGGTGGGTGGGTGAGTGGGTGAGTGAGTGAGTGGGTGGGTGGGTGGGTGGGTGAGTGAGTGAGTGAGTGGGTGGGTGGGTGAGTGGGTGGTGGGTGAGTGAGTGAGTGAGTGGGTGGGTGAGTGGTGAGTGAGTGAGTGGGTGGGTGGGTGAGTGGGTGGGTGGGTGAGTGAGTGAGTGGGTGGGTGGGTGAGTGGGTGGGTGGGTGAGTGAGTGGGTGGGTGGGTGAGTGAGTGAGTGGTTGGGTGGGTGGGTGAGTGGGTGAGTGAGTGAGTGAGTGAGTGGGTGGGTGGGTGGGTGAGTGGGTGAGTGAGTGAGTGAGTGGGTGGGTGGGTGAGTGGGTGGGTGGGTGGGTGAGTGAGTGAGTGGGGGGTGGGTGGGTGAGTGGGTGAGTGAGTGAGTGAGTGGGTGGGTGGGTGAGTGGGTGGGTGAGTGAATGAGTGAGTGGGTGGTGGGTGAGTGGGTGGGTGGGTGAGTGAGTGGGTGGGTGGGTGGGTGGGTGGGTGAGTGAGTGAGTGGGTGGGTGGGTGGGTGAGTGGGTGAGTGAGTGAGTGGGTGGGTGGGTGGGTGAGTGAGTGGGTGGGTGGGTGGGTGAGTGGGTGGTGGGTGGGTGAGTGGGTGGGTGGGTGAGTGAGTGGGTGAGTGGGTGGGTGGGTGGGTGAGTGAGTGGGTAAGTGGGTGGGTGAGTGGGTGAGTTGGTGAGTGGGTGAGTTGGTAGGTGGGTGAGTGGGTGGGTGGGTGAGTGAGTGGGTGGGTGAGTGGGTGGGTGAGTGAGTGAGTGGGTGGGTGAGTGAGTGGGTAGGTAAGTGGGTGGGTGAGTGAGGGAATGGGTGAGTGAGTGAGTGAGTAGGTGAGTGAGTGAGTGGGTGAATAGGTCAGTGAGTGGGTGGATGAGTGAGCACGTGAATGGATGTGTAGTGTCAGTGAGACGGAGGCAAGATTTGTAGGAGGCACCTTCTTTATTAAACAACTTCCATGGTCTCGTCCTCACACTCTCCACAGTTACTTCGCCTCGCCGGTACACAAAACTAACCGTCAAACACTGACGGTGCCGACTGAGATAGCCAACAACTTCGAGCAGCATTATCTAGTCAAGACGACAGCAACAACTCCTTTTATCTTACCAGCGCGGCCTCCCCTCGTAAACCCGCCAGCAGGTTCCAGGGGCCTCCAGACGAGTTCCTCAGTGACCTTTGCCCTCGTTCCTCCGCTCTGCCAATGCACCCGGCGTGCTTAGTCTGTCCCAGAGGTCGCAATCGGGTACCCGATACCCGTACCCTACCCGATACCCGGCTACCCGTACCTGGCCGGGTACGGGTACAGGTAGCCGTTTGCGACCCTGGTGCGGCCGGGTACGGGTAGGCCGTGAGTCACTGGTGAGTAACCGTTTGTCACTCATTTCGGGTAGGGTACGGGTACGGGTAGGGAACGGGTACGGGTACCCGTACCCGGGTACCGGTACCCATTTGCGACCCTGGTGCGGCCGGGTACGGGTAAGGAATCAAAACCCGTTTGCGACCTCTAGTCTGTCCACCACAGTTGCCGCTGCTGTCCACCAGCCGGCGCTATTACACTACAGATGGCTGGGTGGGTGGCAGGGACGTGCGGGCAGGGGAGGCAGGGGAGGCAGAGCCTGACCTGTCATACTCCAATGAAAATAGCTGTTACGAAAAGTAAAAAAAAAGAATAATCAAATAAAATAAATAATAAGATTTTTCCACTGATCTGTGGTATAAATGTCAATTCTGTACGATTCCAATCATTTTTATAGTCAAAATCGCAAAATTTTCGGAGCTCCGCTGCAAATACAGGAAGAGACGAGGGGTGAGGCAGCGGCGATTGCGCAACCCCTCAGTAACTCGATTGAGTGTGGGCAATAAGCGCGTGCCTGTTACTATCTCAGTATGTCACCAATGTAATGTTTGTAGACCCCTTCATTTCATGTCCTCGTCTTCCATACTCCAGGTAACTTATTTTACGTATGGGTATAAAGATATTTAGGTTCGCTGGTCTCGTCATGCAACCGCAATGAAAAAGTACCAGGGGAGGCAGCTATCACATCTGCCTCACCGAGGGGGGACGTGTCTAACACGCCCTCCTCCATGAGGCCACACCCCCCCGTGAGGCCACGCCCCCCTCTGTGTGTGAATCTGGCTCTGACACGAGCCAGTGCCTCCCCAGTCATTGACCTCACCGCACGTCACGTCTCGATCAGTAGACATGTGGCACCTGGGTCTGCCCCGTGACCTCCTGCCAGCGGGCGTTCGACACTTCACGTGGCCTCAAGGTGCACATGGCCTGGCACAAGCGTCGTGGTGACGTCACCGCCACTTAGGGGCGAATGGCGGTTGTTGTTGTTGAGTGGGTCGGTGAGTGTCTGCTATGAACTTCCACGCGACGATGAAGCCACACTTCGCTGAGCTATCGTTTGTGATAGTCTGGGCACTTCTGACAAAGAAGCTATATAGTTCAGTGGGCCTCACCTGCTCAAATAAACACATTCCTGCGGAGGGAGCTGGTAGGAATGTTGGATTGCTCGGTCAATGGCCAGGGTCAACGGCGGCGTGGTGTATTCCGCAAATATGCCCGACTGTGAGGGTGGGCACAAGCCGGCGTGAGTAGGTTAAACGTTGAGTTTTATAAGGGCACCACGGGGTGACCAGCCCCTCCCCACCCAGCCCCTCCCCACCCAGCCCCTCCCCACCCTCCCTAACCAGCCCCTCCCCACCCTCCCCACCCAGCCCCTCCCCACCCTCCCCTCCCCACCCAGCCACTCCCTCCCCACCCAGCCCCTCCCCACCCTATCCCTCTCAACCCAGCCCCACCCCGCCCATTTTTGGATGCACGACGGACGGACACAATAATCCCCTGTGGGCTGGTGTAACCAGGAGGTTCCTACCAGTAGAACATAGTTTAGTTGCGTAGTTTGTCTTCCCAGGGGGTTGCGAAACAATACAATAAAACATGCGGCCGTAATACTGGTAGGAACCTCCTGGTTACACCAGCCCACAGGGGATTATTGTGTCTGTCGTGCAGGGAGGGGATGGGTGGGGAGGGAGGGGCTGGGTGGGGAGGGGAGGGGCTGGGTGGGGAGGGTGGGGAGGGGCTGGGTGGGGAGGTTGGGGCTGGGTGGGGAGGGTGGGGAGGGGCTGGGTGGGGAGGGGAGGAGGGGCTGGGTGGGGAGGGTGGGGAGGGGCTGGGTGGGGAGGGAGGGGCTGGGTGGGGAGGGGCTGGTCACTCCGTGGTGCCCTTATAAAACTCAACGTTTCACCTACTCACGCCGGCTTGTGCCCGCCCTCACAGTCGGGCATATTTGTGGAATACACCACGCCGCCGTTGACCCTGGCCATTGACCGAGCAACCCAACGTTCCTGCCAGCTCTCTCCCCAGGAATGTGTTTTGTACAGGGGGGGGGGGTGGAGGTTGAAAAACGAGGATATTAAATTGAATATGTATTCATACTGGAGGAATACGATGAGCTCTAAAGCTCAGAGAAACGTTACAACAACAAACGACACACAAAACACGATAGGAGTGCAAAGTATAGAAAAAGATAAGCAAATTACTTTTTAAAAAATACAGAGACCCATATAGAACCATAGAAACCCACAGAGACCCATACTCATCGAGACCGATACTAAAACTAAACTATCTAACCAGGTAAGGTCCCACCGAGCAATATAGCTTCTTTTTTACTCTTTGGTTCTTTAATAATAAAAGTTGCCTCTGGTTGCGGTGGTCCCACCTGATGACGAGCGCTTGTGTTGCGCCCGAAACGTCGTGATTTAATTTATTTTATATTTTAATTTTTTTACTTTTATTCTTTTTTACCTACGTGACTTTACCGAAAGAACCAAAGAGTATGGATCCTTGAAGTCACGAAAACTTCAAATCTCGATTCTAAATTGATATTAATATCTTTAAACAATATTAATATCCTCTAGTGGGCATTAATATCCTATATTCCTATGATACTATCCTATATAAATATCCTATTTTATTAATATCCGATAGTAGTAATTATATATTATTATTATTATTCATTTCTTATGTTAAGAATAACGCTTCTTTTTTCAGAAGCGACCTGGCTATGACGAATGATAGCAGCTCAAGAAGTTGGTTGCTTGCCATCGTCGCGTGGAAATGTATAGCAGCAAAAAGAAGTAATATTTAAAAATACTTTTTTTTTAAAACACGCTGTAATGAAATGTACCCTACGAGTAATGGCAGAACTCCACGACTCCAGGAAGTGGCCCCGAAGTTTGCCACAACGTAAGGGACCGTGGTCAGTTACAGCCAACGTGAGTTGAGCGTGGACAATTAGACCCAAGCCGAAACATAACATGTGAAAAAGATGGTTTAATAATATTTATTCTATTTTTAATGATAGAATATAGTATTATCATCAATATGATATACGTATACGAAGTTTGCAGTCGATACCACACTGGGAAGTGGGTTAAAATTGAGTTGCAAGATTTGAGGATACAACAACAGACATAGTGAGTTAATAGAAAACGTGTAATAAAAAGATGGTTTAAAATATTTATTTTATTTTTTATGATAGAATATAGCAGGGGTCGGGAACCTTTTTGACTGGGAGAGCCATAAAAGCCAAATATTTCTAAATATATTGCATTGAGAGCCATATAGTATTTTGAACGTATAAATACATTAAATATGTCTTACTTTTAATGCGACTTCTGGTGCTGCGTGGTTTTGCTGATGGCCTTGTAGTCTGGTTCGTACGTGGTGAGGTTGAGCTTCATGCAGGCGTTGAGGCCCCGTGACCCGTGAAATTTATCTTCAAAACTAATTTCTGTTTACTTTAAAATGACACGGTATTATTAAGCAATATCACAAGTATTTTAAAATCAGTTCCAAACTGATTTTTTTATTTTTTTTTCAACTCAAAATTGTCTGGGAGCCATATGCCGTCACCATAAGAGCCATATATGGCTCGCGAGCCATAGGTTCCCGACCGCTGGAATATAGTATTGTCATCAGTATGACGTAACTATACCAAGGTTGCAGTCGACACCACATTGGGAAATGGCTTAAAATTGAGTTACAAGATTTGAGGATACAACAACAACAACAATAGAGTTCAATAAAAGCGTGTAGTAAGCGAAATCACTCTACACGCGTGACGGTCATTATAAATGTGGAGGGGGAAACCACCATGCAGCAGGCATCGTCAGGGTCAGGATCGAACCCACGACCTCCTGCACACCAGGCGAGGTAGTTAACATCTCCTAGCCACTGTGGTGATGATGAGAGAGAGACGCAGACTCCAAATATACAGCAGCAGGCATCGTCAGGATCAGGATCGAACCCACGACCTCCTGCACACCAGGCGAGGTAGTTAACATCTCCTAGCCACTGTGGTGATGATGAGAGAGAGACGCAGACTGAAAATGTACAGCAGCAGACAAGGTCAGGGTCGGGATCGAACCCACGACCTCCTGTACACCAGGCGAGGTAGTTAACATCTCCTAGCCACCGTGATGATGATGAGAGAGAGATGCAGACTGAAAATGTACAGCAGCAGACAAGGTCAGGGTCGAGAAATGTGACGTCACATCAAAATGTGCAACTTTAAATAAATATAGACAACACGTTCTACTTAATTAAATAGACTTTTTAATAAATGTTTGCTCCTACAACATCAGAGTGCAGCGCCACATTCAATACGCACCACAATGACAATAGTTTAAAGCGATTTGAAGCATGTTTTATTTGGGGGGGGGGGGGGCAGAGCTTTGTGACGTCATATTTGAGGGGGAGGGGGTCTGACTTTTTGTGACGTCGCGTGACGAGGGGGGAGGGGGTCAAAAATCGTACAAAATCGCGTGACGTCATTTATGGACGGCCCCTAAAAAAGAGCCACATAGATCAGTGAGCCTTACCTCGTAAAAAAAATTAACCTGTAAAAACAAAGTTTTTCACTATAAATCCTTTATATGCGTGGCATCGGTTTCATTTTATTATTCATTTCTGTTTTTCTTGAGTAAGCAAGCAAGCAAGTGAACTTAATATAAAGGATTTTAATAAAATGTGTTCATTGTTTAGTTTATATTTGTAGGAGGGGTACCAGAGGTATAAAAAAAGAACAGGCGGCCATCTTCGTACGGGAGGGCAGTAGAAACTGGCAACCATCTTGATACGGGAGGTTACAAGCGTAGGCGGCCATTTTCGTACGGGGTGCTATGAACAAAACAAGAGGCGGCCATCTTGCTACGGGAGGTTAATAAAACAAAGGGCGGGTCTCTTGGTAAGGGAGTTTTATGAAATCAGGCGGCCATCTTGTTATAGTACGTGAATAAAATTAGGCGGCCATCTTGGTCACAGTACGTGAATAAAATTAGGCGGCCATTTTGGTACGGGATGTTATATGATAACACGGGCGGCCATCTTGGTACGGTGAGCTCATAGCAACGTGCGGCCATCTTTGTACGGGGTTGGGTTTTCCCTTTGCGAATGTCATCTCAGCGGCGTGGTCAACGCTTCGTCATTAATAATTATTTCCTCCTCTATATAAGTGCGTGTGTGGGTGAGTCTGAGTGTTAGTGAGTCTCTGTGTGTGTGCTCCTCTGTGAGGTTGTCTGTGTGTGTCTGTGTGTCTCGCGCTTGCGTAAGAGTTGCGTCAGACAGCAGTTGGTTCTAGAGCTTTCCGCCTCCTCCGTCATCACCATCATCATCACCACAGTGTGAGTAACACCATCATCATCACAGTGTGAGTAACACCACCACCATCACCACAGTGTGAGTAACACCACCACCATCACCACCACCATCATCACAGTGTGAGTAACACCATCATCATCATCACAGTGTGAGTAACACCATCATCATCATCACAGTGTGAGTAACACCATCACCATCACCACCATCATCATCATCACAGTGTGAGTATCACCACCATCACACACAGTGTAACACCATCATCATAATACACAGTGTAACACCATCATACACAGTAACACCATCACCACCATCACACACACTGAGTATTACCATCATCACCACACAGTGTATCACCATCACCATTACACGTAGTCAGTATCACCACCATCACACACACAGTGTAACACCATCATCATATACACAGTGTAACACCATCACCACCATCACACACACAGTGTGAGTAACACCATCATCATAATACACAGTGTAACAACATCATCACCATCACACACACAGTGTGATTATCACCATCACCACCATCACACACACAGTGTGAGTAACACCATCATCATAATACACAGTGTAACACCATCACCACCTTCACACACACAGTGTGATTATCATCATCACCATCACCACCATTACACACACAGTGTGAGTAACACCATCATCATAATACACAGTGTAACAACATCATCACCATCACACACACAGTGTGATTATCATCATCACCATCACCACCATCACACACACAGTGTGAGTAACACCATCATCATAATACACAGTGTAACACCATCACCACCTTCACACACACAGTGTGATTATCATCATCACCATCACCACCATCACACACACAGTGTGAGTAACACCATCATCATAATACACAGTGTAACAACATCATCACCATCACACACACAGTGTGATTATCATCATCACCATCACCACCATCACACACACAGTGTGAGTAACACCATCATCATAATACACAGTGTAACAACATCATCACCATCACACACACAGTGTGATTATCATCATCACCATCACCACCATCACACACACAGTGTGAGTAACACCATCATCATAATACACAGTGTAACACCATCACCACAATCACCATACAGTGTGGCTATCATCATCACCACCATCACACACAGTGTGAGTAACACCATCATCATAATACACAGTGTAACACCATCACCACCATCACACACACAGTGTGATTATCATCATCACCATCACCACAGTGTGATTATCATCATCACCATCACCACAATCACCACAGTGTGATTATCATCATCACCATCACCACCATCGCACACACAGTGTGATTATCATCATCACCATCACCACAGTGTGATTATCATCATCACCATCACCACCATCACCACAGTGTGATTATCATCATCACCATCACCACCATCACACACACAGTGTGAGTAACACCATCATCATAATACACAGTGTAACAACATCATCACCATCACACACACAGTGTGATTATCATCATCACCATCACCACCATCACACACACAGTGTGAGTAACACCATCATCGTAATACACAGTGTAACACCATCACCGCCTTCACACACACAGTGTGATTATCATCATCACCATCACCACCATCACACACACAGTGTGAGTAACACCATCATCATAATACACAGTGTAACAACATCATCACCATCACACACAAAGTGTGATTATCATCATCACCATCACCACCATCACACACACAGTATGAGTAACACCATCATCGTAATACACAGTGTAACACCATCACCACCTTCACACACACAGTGTGATTATCATCATCACCATCACCACCATCACACACACAGTGTGAGTAACACCATCATCATAATACACAGTGTAACACCATCACCACCTTCACACACACAGTGTGATTATCATCATCACCATCACCACCATCACACACACAGTGTGAGTAACACCATCATCATAATACACAGTGTAACACCATCACCACCTTCACACACACAGTGTGATTATCATCATCACCATCATCACCATCACACACACAGTGTGAGTAACACCATCATCATAATACACAGTGTAACAACATCATCACCATCACACACACAGTGTGATTATCACCATCACCATCACCACCATCACACACACAGTGTGAGTAACACCATCATCATAACACACAGTGTAACAACATCACCACAATCACCACAGTGTGGCTATCACCACCACCAGATCTCGTTGCGTTGAGCGGCTTTGCTCAATGTGAGTGTAGAGAGGTGAGGCTCGCTCAAGGTGAGCGACTCACTCACATACTCACCAGGTGAGTAGGTGAGTGAGTCTCGGTGAGTGAGTAGGTGAGTAGGTGAGTGAGTAGGTGAGTGAGTAGGTGAGTGAGTCTATGTGAGTAGGTGAGTGAGTCTATGTGAGTAGGTGAGTGAGTAGGTGAGTAGGTGAGTGAGTTTAGGTGAGTAGGTGAGTGAGTCTCACCAGGTGAGTTGGTGAGTGAGTCAGGTTAGTAGGTGAGTGAGTTTAGGTGAGTAGGTGAGTGAGTCTCACCAGGTGAGTTGGTGAGTGAGTCAGGTTAGTAGGTGAGTGAGTTTAGGTGAGTAGGTGAGTGAGTCTCACCAGGTGAGTTGGTAAGTGAGTCAGGTTAGTAGGTGAGTGAGTTTAGGTGAGTAGGTGAGTGAGTCTCACCAGGTGAGTTGGTGAGTGAGTCAGGTTAGTAGGTGAGTGAGTTTAGGTGAGTAGGTGAGTGAGTCTCACCAGGTGAGTTGGTGAGTGAGTCTCAGTGAGTAGGTGAGTCAGGTGAGTGAGTCAGGTGAGTGAGTCTCACCAGGTGAGTAGGTGAGTGACCCTCGGTGAGTATGTGAGTAGGTGAGTCTAGGTGAGTGAGTCCAGGTGATTCGGTGACCGACTCGTTCACCTACCCATGTAGTGAGCTGGTGAGTGACTCAAGGCCATAGCCATGGAGTCTATATTGGGGGGGGGACCAAATCTTTGAGGGGGTCTGGGGGTCACCCCCAGAAAAAAAAATCTAAATTTGAAAACGAATTTCCTGCCTAAAATATTAAAAAATTCACTAACATATGGATGGCATGGCCTTTAAATTTTGACAATAATGTCTAACAGTGTATTGTATTACATTGCTCTGTTTTCTTTTGTTATCTTTTCTTGTTTCATTGTATGTAATGGCAGAGATTAGGGATTAATAAAGTACTGTACAACCATAACCACAATCGTATAAACAGAACTCTATTTTATAGCAATATAATGGGGGGGGGAGCAGTGATTGGGTGAGGTGGTGAATGGGTGAGTGACTGAGTGAGTGCTACTCGCTACTAACAGCACTTGCCCCAACAGTCTGTTGCAAGCTACACGGTGGATCTGTCTTTATAGTGAGTGGGTGCTTGGGTGAGGTGGTGAATGGGTGAGTGAGTGAGTGAGTGCTACTAGCTACTAACAGCACTTGCCCCAACAGTCTGTTGCAAGCTACACGGTGGATCTGTCTATAGTGAGTGGGTGATTGGGTGAGGTGGTGAATGGGTGAGTGACTGAGTGAGTGCTACTAGCTACTAACTGCACTTGCCCCCGACAGAACTGTTTGAGGCCATATTCTTGGTTCTCTCGGTAAAGTCACGTAGAAGGGAGGGGGTGAGAAAGTGAGTGAGTGAGAGAGAGGATGAGTAGGGGTTTGACTAATCTCATCGCCGCCTCCGTTACTTGTGCCAACAGCTGCTGCTTCTACCGAGAGAGCGGAGAGGAGGAGGAGGAGGAGCGGAGCGAGAGATCAGAAGAAGAGAGGGCAGCAGTAGAAGAAGAAGAAAGAGAGGAAGAGAGCAGCGATGATGCTGTTTCTTCGTGCAGCTCTCCCCTGTTCCAGGGGAGCGTCGCTCCTCCTCCGGCCGGTTCGCATCGCCCACCACCCCGGCGCCTCCCCCTCCTCCCCATCCTCCTTCTGTTACCCACCTCCCCCCCTGGTGAAGAATCTGGCAACACGCGCCAGGAGCGCTGCGCGGCGAGTGGAGGTGAAGCCGGAGGCATGGAGAGGGGCAGAGGCGGCGATGAAGGGTGAGTGTGAGGGTGAGAGGGTGAGTGTGAGAGGGTGAGTGTGAGAGGTTGAGGGTGAGAGGGTGAGGGTGAGAGGGTGAGGGTGAGAGAGAGGGGGTGAGAGGGTGAGAGGGTGAGGGTGAGAGGGTGAGGGTGAGAGGGTGAGGGTGAGAGGGTGAGGGTGAGAGGGTGAGAGGGTGAGGGTGAGAGGGTGAGGGTGAGAGGGTGAGGGTGAGAGGGTGAGGGTGAGAGGGTGAGAGGGTGAGTGTGAGGGTGAGTGAGAGGGTGAGAGGGTGAGTGAGAGGGGGTGAGGGAGAAGGGTGAGAGGGTGAGTGAGAGGGGGTGAGGGAGAAGGGTGAGTGGGTGGGTGAGAGGGTGAGAGAGGGTGAGAGGGTGAGAGGGTGAGAGGGTGAGTGAGAGGGTGAGTGAGAGGGTGAGGGTGAGAGAGAGGGTGAGTGTGAGGGTGAGAGGGTGAGTGTGAGGGTGAGTGTGAGGGTGAGTGTGAGGGTGAGTGTGAGGGTGAGTGTGAGGGTGAGTGTGAGGGTGAGAGGGTGAGTGAGAGGGTGAGTGAGAGGGTGAGAGGGTGAGTGAGAGGGTGAGTGAGAGGGTGAGAGAGGGTGAGTGGGTGGGTGAGAGAGGGGGTGAGGGAGAAGGGTGAGAGAGGGTGAGTGGGTGGATGAGAGGGTGAGAGAGAGGGGGTGAGGGGAAAGGGTGAGTGGGTGGGTGAGAGAGAGAGGGTGAGAGAGGGTGAGTCTGAGGGTGAGAGGGTGAGGGGGTGAGGGAGAAGGGTGAGTGGTGACCCTCCCAAATGGGTACCTGGTGCGGTGTGTTAACATCGCCACGGGGGAGACAAAGGCGGCTGGGTGTGGTCCTGACCACCCACCCCCTAGTGTGCCGTATCGGTCTTCATAGGTGCTCGCTAACAACACTTGCCCCGACAGCCTGTTCAGGCTATACGGGGGCCATCTTTGGCGGTGGGTGAGTGAGTGAGTGACGCCTTCTGGCCAAACTCCCATCTGGCAGAGCCAGGAGACTGAACCTCCTCCCTTCATCTCGGGGTTCCTCCAGGAACAGGAGACCACTGCGATTGGCCAAGTGGAAATGTTTCGCCTCTCGTTGTTGCCGAGGACAGGCTGCCACTCCTCTGTCGGGAGATAGAACGGTTACCGCTGGGACCTCCCGTGAACCGGTTCTGGCTCCAGTCACCATGAGGGGGGGGGGGGGACAATTCTCCACTTGGGGCAGGAAAACAGCCAAACAACAGGGAGTGGCACTCCTCTTTGAATAAAAGAACGAAGGTTTGTCATGGGGCCAAGGTAGGGATGACCCTGCTGGGGCTGCCGTGCCTCGAACATTGGCAGAAGTGGCCACCCCTTCCGAGTGGTTGGCTGAGGGTGCCACTTGTGGATCCGGAAGTCTGAGACCATGAAAAGCGCCGGGTAGTGACGATCTCCCGAGTGAAATAACTGAGGGAGGGTGGCGTTTGTGTGCAGACTGCCCTATATGAGAAGTTGGGAGGCGCTGCTGCTGCACCTGGAGTGTGCCACTCGGAGGTGTGGGGTGTTACCATCAGCCCCATCCACTAAAACTAAGCACTTTGCTGGGTATTTTGTGCCATGGAGAGAGTGGAGCGTTCCATACCTGGGCAGTGTGCTTATGACCAGCTCTAGTTTGACAGCAGAGGTCTAACTCCGAATCAGTCGGGCGGCATTATCTTTTCATCCGCTACCTAACGCCATGTGGAAGCTACCTGGTCTATCGCTAGACATGAAGCTTCGGGTCCTCCCGGCCACAGTCATGCCCTCCCTTCTCCGTGCTTGTAAAACGTGGACCCCTCTAATGGAACATCTGCGCCGGTTAGAAAATTCAGGCTCACAAATCCTTAAAAGACCTGGACACATTCCCATCAGCGAGCTGTTCCGGCAGGCAAGGCTGCTTTGGCTGGGTCATGTAGCCCACATTACCAGCCATCGCGTGCCCAAACAGCTTTTGTTTGACCGGATAGAGGGGGCTAATCGGGCATGGCACCGGCTGGAGAAGAGATTGACTTGTGTGGTACAGGAGGATGTGGAGCTGCGTGGACTTGCCGAAGACTGGTACCAGCGGTGTCAAGATTAGCCTCTATGGAGGAGGCTTGTAAAGGACGCTACTGGGCAGTTGGAGGGAGTCGCCCTCGAGCAACAACGGAGGATGGAGGAGCGACGCTCACAACAATGAGCGGAGCGCAGGGTGGCTAAATCGCTGCGAGTTGACACAGTAGGGGACACAGGTGGTGCATCGGCCAGTCATTTGCTGGTCAACCCATGGCGCCTGGGTTTGTCCCGTGACCTCCCATCGGCAGCGAGCCTTCAACACTTCACTTGGCCTCAAAGTGCACCTAGCCTGGCACAAGTGCCTTGGTGATGTCACCATCACTTATTGGCGAATGGCGGTTATTGGTATTGGGTGAGAGACAGGAAGAGAGGGAGACAATTAAGCTGCATCTCATTTAATCTCGTGTCGTGTCTCCCCCCCCCCCCCCCCCCCCCCCCCCCCCCCCCCGTCTCTCTCCCCGTGTCTCTTTCTGCCCGTGTCTCTCGCTCTCCCCATGTCTCATTCTCCCCGTGTCTCTCGCTCTCCCCGTGTCTCTTTCTCTCCGTGTCTCTTTCTCCCCATGTCTCTTTCTCCCCGTGTCTCTCGCTCTCTCCCCGTGTCTCTCTATCGCTCTCCCCGTGTCTCTCGCTCTCCCCGTGTCTCTCTCTCGCTCTCCCCGTGTCTCTCTCGCTCTCCCCGTGTTTCTCTCCCCGTGTCTCTCCCCGTGTCTCTCTCTCCCCGTGTCTCTCTCTGCGTAGTGGAGTCTCTGGGCCGTCTGGCCGTGGCCGGTGGAGGGGTCATCTCCATCGGTGCCCTCTGCTACTACGGCCTGGGACTCTCCAACGAGCCTGGTGCCATCGAGAGGGCAAGGTCAGGGCCTTGCTGCTGAGCACACCACCATCATTACCACCACCACCACCATCATTATCTCTCTCTGCCTGTGTCTGTCTCCCCGTGTCTCTGTGTGTGTGTGTGTGTATAGTCTGTGGCCAAACTACGTACGAGAGAGGGTCAGAGACACGTACGTGTACCTCTCCCCGTGTCTCTTTCTCCCTCACTGTGTCTCTCTGTGTCTCTGTGTCTCTAGTCTGTGGCCAAACTACGTACGAGAGAGGGTCCGAGACACCTACACCTACCTGGGTGCCACCATCTCCCTCACCGCGGCCTCAGCGGCGCTCGCCGCACGATCACCGACCATAATGAACCTGGCCGCTCGCAGCTCTTGGCTGGTAATGCACGCACACACACACAGACACACACGCACAGACACACACGCACAGACACACACGCACAGACACACACGCACAGACACACACGCACAGACACACACGCACAGACACACACGCACAGACACACACGCACAGACACACGCACAGACACACACGCACAGACACACACGCACAGACACACACGCACAGACACACACGCACAGATCACACACACACACAGACACACACACAGACACACGCATGCACAGACACACACACACAGACACACGCACAGACACACGCACAGACACACGCACAGACACACGCACAGACACACGCACAGACACACGCACAGACACACGCACAGACACACGCACAGACACACGCACAGACACACGCACAGACACACGCACAGACACACGCACAGACACACGCACAGACACACGCACAGACACACGCACAGACACACGCACAGACACACGCACAGACACACGCACAGACACACGCACAGACACAAGCACAGATACAGACACACGCACACACACACACAGACACACACACAGACACACAGACACACACAGACACACACACAGACACACACACACAGACACACACGCACAGACACACGCACAGACACACACGCACGTAAACAACAACAACCACCATTCACCACGAAGCGGCGGTGACATCACCACTGCGCTTGTGCCAGGCTAAGTGCACGTTGACCGAAAGACCCAAGAGTGTGAATTCCTGCAGTCACGAGAGCTTTAAATGAAGATTCATTATACCATCGTCCTCCCGACTTGATGACGTGTTATCAGATGGACGCAGATTGACTATAATACAACTGGGTGACTCTGTGTAGCTGCTGCAACGATGTTCACTACATAGCTGACTGACTATATAGGAGCCGTCGATGTAGTAGCCACTGCGTAGATATACAACTTCCTTCGCTAGCCTTCCAAGGCGCTGCCTTTTATCTCCCCTCAGCTCCGCCACGCCCATTTTCCTCTCTCTCGCCGTGTCACTCTCTCTCCCCCGGTGTCTCTCTCTCTTACCTCGTTCCCCGTGTCTTTCTTTCCCCATGTCTCTCTCTCTCCCCCTGTGTGTGTCTCGCTCTCCCCATGTCTCTCTCTCCCCATGTGTGTGTGTCTCGCTCTCCCCATGCCTCTCTCTCTCCCCCTGTGTGTGTGTCTCGCTCTCCCCATGTCTCTCTCTCTCCCCCTGTGTGTGTGTCTTTTTCTCCTTGCAGGCTATCGGAGTCTCGTTTGTCGCCGTGATTGGCTCTGGGATGCTCGTCAGGTCCATTCCCTATGAGGGGAAACTCGGAGTGAAGCATGCGGCCTGGGCCCTGCACGCAGGTACACGGGGAGAGAGAGACACGGGGGGAGAGAGAGAGAGACACGGGGAGAGAAAGAGACACGGGGAGAGAGAGAGAGACACGGGGAGAGAGAGAGACACGGGGAGAGGGAGAGAGACACGGGGAAAGAGAGGGAGACACGGGGAGAGAGAGAGACACAGGCAGAGAGAGAGACACGGGGAGAGGGAGAGAGACACGGGGAGAGAGAGAGAGACACGGGGAGAGAGAGAGACGAAGGCAGAGAGAGAGAGACGGGGAGAGAAAGGGAGACAAGTTCAAGTTCATGTATTAGGTACAGAGCCCTGTGAACCATTCGGCTCTTGAATCTGGTGCAACTGCAACAAACAAAAAACAAAACATGAACAAGAAAACATCTTAAAGTGACTGTGACTGAGTGCAAACAGAAAATCCAAGAAAAGACAGCAAAATATTGCAGAAAAAATCACCGTACACCAACGCTGTGTGCAAAAATCCCAGTGGGATGCAAGCCAAACAACAACAACCACAAGACAACTTAGATTAAGGCCATCAGTCTAACTCTGTACTACAACAAACAAACATGGCTAAACCAATATACTTTTCGAAATCACCAAAATAAAGCCATGAAACCAATGAAACAGTGATCATAGGAACTGTGACGGAATTTTCACAATAAATGGCATAAACAACATGTACTACCAAAACCCTGCAGCCATAGCTGGCTGCATGAGTCACTCCACAACAGCAGGAGCATCAGTCGGAGTATTATAATTTTTCAATGCACCTTTAAGATCAGCACACTAAATCAAAACACAGGTCATACTTTGTAGCGATCATCCGGAGCGAAACATTTTATTTTAGGCCACTGAATAGCAGTGGCAGCTAGGGGTGTACAACTCCTCTAGAGCAGTTTTGAGTGAAGATCTCATAGGTAGTGACTCAAGTTTCAATTTATTGGCAACAGCATTCCAGACCCTGGGGTCTGGAATGGGGGCATCAATATCAAACACACTCCCCCCCCCCCCCCACGGGGAGAGAAAGAGAAACACGGAGAGAAAGAGAGAGACACTCGGGGAGAGAGAGAGGGGAAATGAAATTCGCTGGGTGAATCGTCGTGAGGCAGGGCAACAACTCCGTTTTGTAATTGATCACAGATTGGACACCCAAATGGGAGATTTGAGCAGCTTTTTCACCGCAGGATTTATTCGACACCAAAGCAGTTTATTGCAACTCGACACTCTAAGGGACGTCTCGGCAAAAAAACATCAAACTTAATTTGGAGCTTTCGTGACTGCAGGAATTATTCTTTGGTTCTTTCGGTAAAGTCACGTATAAAGATAAAATAATAAATTAAATTAAATACTAGCATACGACGTTTCGATTGCAACACAAGCAATCATCATCAGGTATAAATTAATTAATTTATAAATTAATTAATTTATACCTGATAATGATGATGATTGCTTGTGTTGCAATCGAAACGTCGTATGCTAGTATTTAATTAAATTTATTATTTTATCTTTATATATGTGACTTTACCGAAAGAACCAAAGAGCAATAAACCATCGGCAAGCTGCAGCTTGCGTGCGACCTCCTCTGGCACGTTGTCGTGACGGGTGGCACCTACCGCAAGATCCGACCGTAGTCCGTCTGGCGCTCGCCAAGCCGCGTTTGCTTTCGGTTTCCGAACGAATACACAGCGGCCATAATCAGGAGGTCATCACGCTCTGCCATCGCGCACATGCAGCACAACGAAGCGCTCGTCGGCAAACGAACCACGACACCACCTTGCTGGTGACCTCGTGAAGGAACAGACGTCACGGGGACTTGATCAAGATGGAGCTTGTGACCGGTTTGAAGTTAGGGGCTGAACGTAGAAGTGCAATTTTTGTTCAGACAGTGATCAGATCTCTAACACTGGTCAACACACTTTTTCTGGCATAAGGTATTCCAACGGTCATGGGACCTCCTTTGTCAGTACCAAAATATACTAATAAGGTTTTATTTTCCCCTTTTTTCTGGCAACAAAACTGATACCTTTTGCAAGGATTCATGCTTACATTGACCACAATACTTGCAGTCAAATGCATTTGACTGCAAGTATTGTGGTCAATGTAAGCATGAATCCTTGCAAAAGGTATCAGTTTTGTTGCCAGACATAAAGGGGAAAAAAACCCTATTAGTATTCCAATGGTTTTAAGGTAATTTTGGGGGGGTGCTGATTCCAAATCTGGCATCGGTTTTTGTCTATCACATCAGGTTTTTGAGATATCAAATATTGCATTTTCAATAAAAACTGCAGAAGAAAGATATTAAACAAATGTGGATATCTACATAAAATGATATTATAAACACACTTTCCTAAAAATACAGCACCATATTTTAACACTAAAGCAGTCACTGACTCGCAACAACTTGCAATCATAAGTAACAGCGTTAATTTTGGGTAAAATCAATGAAAACGGGGTATGCCGATAGCATAAAAGTGAGATGTGATAGAGCAAATCTGAGATCAGATTTGGAATCGGCACCCTGAAATTAGTCTAGAACAGCTGCAAAAGTCCAGGCCAGAAATTTTTTTGTTGTTGTTGTTGACCAGTGTAATCTCCTCCCCCTTCTCCCCCCTGCCTCCCTTCCCCCATCTCTCCCCCCTTTTCCCCCTATCTCCCCCATCCCACGGCTAGGGTTGATGGGGCTGCTGCTGTGTCCAATGGTGGTCCTGGGAGGGCCGCTACTGCTCCGTGCCGCCTGCTACAGCGGGGGACTGGTGGGGGCCCTGTCGGCCGTGGCCGTCTGCGCCCCCAGCGACCGATTCCTGTACATGGGCGGGCCCCTGGCGGCCGGGCTGGGGGTGGTGGTGGCAGCCTCACTCGGTGAGAGAGGAGTGGTGGGGTGAGAGTGGGGAGAGAGAGTGGTGGGGTGAGAGTGGGGAGAGAGAGTGGTGGGGTGAGAGTGGGGAGAGAGAGTGGTGGGGTGAGAGTGGGGAGAGAGAGTGGTGGGGTGAGAGAGAGTGGTGGGGTGAGAGAGAGTGGTGGGGTGAGAGAGAGTGGTGGGGTGAGAGAGAGTGGTGGGGGGAGAGACCTGGGGAGAGAGACGTGGGGGGAGAGACGTGGGATGAGAGAGTGGGGGGAGAGTGGGGGGCTCGCACAGGGGGAGAGAGTGGGGGGCTTGCACAGGGGGAGAGAGACATGGGGAGAGAGTGGGGGGAAAAAATGTGGAGAAACAGGAAAATAGTGGGAGGCACGGGGAGAGTGGGGGGAGGGTTGGGGCTGCATCTGGTCTCTCTCTCTTCTCTCACCATGTGTCTCTCTCCGTGCGAGTCTCCAGGCTCCGTGTTCCTCCCGGCCGGCTCTGCGTTCGGCTCCGCGCTCTATTCCCTCTCACTCTACGGGGGTCTGCTGCTGTTCGGCGCCCTGCTGCTGTACGACACGCAGCGCGTGGTGCGCAGAGCTGAGACTTACCCACCTCCTGGGGGGATGCGCCCAGCCTACGACCCCATCAACGGGTGAGACGGAGAGACACACAGACACGGGGAGAGAGCGACACAGGGGGAGAGCGACACGGGGAGAGAGAGACACTGGGAGAGAGAGAGACACGGGGAGTGTGAGAGAGAGAGAGAGACACGGGGAGTGAGAGAGAGAGAGACACGGGTGGTGAGAGAGAGACACGGGTGGTGAGAGAGACACGGGGAGTGCGAGAGAGAGAAAGACACGGGGAGTGAGCGAGAGACACGGGGAGTGCGAGAGAGAGAGAGACACGGGGAGTGAGAGAGAGACACGGGGAGTGCGAGAGAGACACGGGGCGTGAGAGAGAGACACGAGTAGAGAGAGAGACACGGGTAGAGAGAGTTCAATAATGCCTCCCACGATGGCTCGGAGTTGTTAACTACCTCGCCTGGTATATCGGAGATCGTGGCTTTGATTCCGATCCTTACGCCTGCTGCTGTATATTTGAAGTTTGTGTGTGTGTCTCTCTCCCTGTGTCTCTCCTTCATCTCCTGTCTCTCTCTGTTCGTCTGTAGGTGTCTCAGTATCTACATGGACATCATGAACATCTTCATCAGGATTGCCACCATCATGGCTGGAGGCGGCTCGCGGAGGAAGTGAAGCGGCTGAGATCTGTCTCTCTCTCTCGTGTCTCTCTCCACTATTGGTTAGCGAGCGCCTATTATGAGCGGGTCTCTGCGTGTGGCGTGCTGGGGAGTTAGGGCTAAGTAGACCTTAGGGGAGGACACACACCCCGGTGAGCGAAGGAGGGGGGCGGGAGATGAGTAGGCAAAATAGATGTACAGAGAGAGACGCATATTCCTACACAGACATACAAATATATAAATGTACAGATGCAGAGAGAGAGACGTAGACACATAGACACACACATACAGACAGACACGCATATACAGAGAGAGAGAGAGACGCATATTCGTACACAGACACATACAAATATATAAATGTACAGATATAGAGGGACACACATACAGACAGACGGAGACACATATACAGAGACAAGATAAATATCCCCTTTGTAGCCTTTAAACAACTGTCAGGGCAAGTGCTGCGAGCGAGTTGCAGCGCCTATGAAGGTCGGTAATGTGGCACATGAGGTGGTGGGTGGCCAGCACCACGCCCGCCCGCCTTTGTCTCCCCAGTGGCGATGTTTTACTACGCACCGCTACACCAAGTTACGGATTTCAGGCTGAGTCGACCTAGGGGGAGGCCCAGGACCGGTTCAAATATTCACCACTTATTGGACCAGTGAGTGGGAATGGAACCCGGGCCGCCGGGTTTTGTATCACGGTGCGCTAACCACTACACCACCGCTCCCCACACAGACACACGTGCTCACATACACACACACACACTCCCCTCCCCCTCTGTAACATGTACAGTGTGCAACACGTGGTGAAGTAATACAGTCTGGTGTCACGTGGTCGATGTTGGTTTCGGTTTCACTTTATTCAAATAAAAATCCCTTTAACCACGAGAGAGAGAGAGCCTCAGTGATTAACACTGAACCTTATAGGAGCCTTTGTCTGGCTCTGAGCCTCGGTGGGTAACACTGAACCCTATGGGAGCCCAAGTGATTAACACTGAACTCTATGGGAGCCTTCGTCTGGCTCTGTGAGCCCCAGTGATTAACACTGAACCCTATGGGAGCCCAAGTGAGTAACACTGAACCCTATGGGAGCCCCAGTGATTAACACTGAACTCTATGGGAGCCTTCGTCTGGCTCTGTGAGCCCCAGTGAGTAACACTGAACCCGATGCGAGCCTTGGTCTGGCTCTGTGAGCCTCGGTGATTAACACTGAACCCTATGGGAGCCCAAGTGAGTAACACTGAACCCTATGGGAGCCTTGGTCTGGCTCTGTGAGCCCCAGTGATCAACACTGAACCCGATAAGAGCCTTGGTCTGGCTCTGTGAGCCCCAGTGAGTAACACTGAGCCCTATGGGAGCCCAAGTGATTAACATTGAACCCTATCGGAGCCCTGGTCTGGCTCTGTGAGCCTAGGTGATTAACACTGAGTCCGAAAGGAGCCCAAGTAATTAACACTTAAGCCAAGGTGGGTGTCACTGAAGCCCCAATTAGAAACAGGAGTGACTCACCCCCTCGTAATAAAGAGACCGACGAACCAATGGCAAGGGCTGCTTCTTTTGTACGGCTGATGTCCGATCAGATGATCAGAATATTGATTATGTTTCTATTTCTGTGACTTTACCGAAAGAAAACAAGGAATATTAAATGTATATGTCCAGAGGAATCCAATGAGCTATAAAGAAATGTATTTTATCAGATGTCCAGTAGGAGGCGCACTGGGGTCAGAACGGCACAACAACTAAACAATACACTAACGACAGGAGATATAAACTCTTGGTTTTTTCGGTAAAGTCACGTAGGTAAAGAAGATAAAGATAAACATAAATTAAATCACGACGGTTTCGATTGCAACACAAGCAATCATCAACAGTTGTTCATAATCAACGTTTTTGGGTTTAGATCGCGTTATTTATAAATGTGTCGTAACCCTCCACCACCCGACACGGCCAATCAGCAAAACAGTGTCACGTTGACAAAAGACAAATAGTTCACTGCTTTAGCCCACCGGTGTGTTGAAAGTCACGTAGGTAAAAAACCTACGTGACTTTACCGAAAAACCTAAGAATATGAAACGTCGTGATTTTTTAAAATCTTTTTTTTTCTTTACCTACGTGACTTTACCGAAAGAACCAAGAGTATGGCTCCTTGCAGTCACGAAAACTTCAAATCTAGAAATAACGACAGGAGAGTTGTGCAAAGTACAGAAAATGCAAAAAATTGCCCAAAAAGACATGCAAATAAAACTAGACCCTCCCCATCCTTAACAGCTTCAATTTCACATTCGGGTCGTCAAGCCCAGATGTTAACTGCCTCGCCTGGTGTACAGGAGGTCGTGGGTTCGATCCCGACCCAGACGCCTGCTGCTGCTGCTGTATCTTTGGAGTTTGCGTGTCTCTCTCTGTGGTCGCGTGGACTTTTCTCTGGCTTCTCCGGGTTTTCCCTCCACATTTAGAATCGACGGCATTCAGAGTATTTGGCGCCTGCTATGAATTCCCGCGTGATGATATCAGTCCCTTCGTTGAGCTGCCATCATTTCTGATGGCTAGGTCGCTCCTGAAAGAAGAGCTTACACAGCTCAGTGAGGCCGTACCTGGTGAAATATAACACATTCCTGCGGAGGGAGCTGGTAGGAACGTTGGGTTGCTCGGTCAATGGCCTGCAGGGTCAACGGCGGCGTGGTGTTTCCGCAAATATGGCCGACTGTGAGGGCGGGCACAAGCCGGCGTGAGTAGGTTAAACGTTGAGTTTTATAAGGGCACCACGGGGTGACCAGCCCCCCCCACCCAGCCCCACCCCTCCCACCCCCCACCCAGCCCCACCCAGCCCCACCCCCCACCCAGCCCTTCCACACCCAGCCCCTCCCCACCCTCCCCACCCAGCCCCACCCAGCCCCTCCCAGCCCCACCCTCCCCACCCAGCCCCTCACAGCCCCTCCCCACCCTCCCCTCTCCACCCAGCCTCACCCCTCCCATTTTTGGATGCACGACGGACGGACGGACACAATAATCCCCTGTGGGCTGGTGGAACCAGGAGGATCCTACCAGTAAAATAGAAGTTGTATATCTTTTTCTTACCTAACCTATACTTTCCACTCGTATCGTGGTCGTGTACTTGCGTTGTAACGTTGTGACGCCGTGCCTCCCTATCGGTAGCGGTTCGTGACATTTCCACCAGGTTGAGGCTGATGTGAGTGATGAGTGGGGTGGGGGGACGTTGGGAGGAAAATACAAGCTGGAAGACGGTCACGAAGCCTGGGGTCCCTCATGGTGTAACTAATAAAAGTGGAAATAATACAATAATAAAAATAAAATAAAATAATTCTCGCCCCCCCCCCCCCCCCCCCGTTTAATCACATACCAAAATGTAATTACATAACATGTAGGCTGTGTGTGGCGGGATATATAAACTTTTAGGTTGAGGTGTAGATTTGTGCAGTAGTTTCAGGCTGCCGCGCCCGCCGCAATGAGTTATAATGTGACGTTGTAAGCCTCATTTTGGCGCCCGGGGACATATGTACCCCCCTGCCCCCCCCCCCTAGCTATGCCTCTGCATCTCAAGCCTACATAAGACCTTGTTTCAGTAGCTTTCTCTCACCTGAAGACGGCTGCTTGTGTTGCGATCGAAACGTCGTGATCTATTAATAGTTTTCTATCTACGTGACTTTACCGGAAGAACCAAAAAGTAAGGGATTATAACATTGAAATTAAATGGGTCTGTGTCACCGCGCCCTTACAGATTGCACACGAATGGATGCAATGAATATCATGTCACGCTCTGCTTTTCGCTGGCCAATTTAAGATTTACTGCAATACACCCGTCCTTGGACGGGCAAAAGGCTCGTCTTCACTAATAGAGGTGTTTATTTTTCGATTTAAAGCTTTCGTGACTGCTGCAGGGATTCATCTTCTTGGTTCTTTCGGTAAAGTCACGTAGAAGAGAAATAATAAAATAATAAAAATAAAACAATAAAATAATTCTCACGACGTTTCGGCCACAACGCAAGCAGCCGTCCTCAGGTGAAGACCAGGTCTGTCGGAAAGAGCAGCCGTCCTGTTCTTCATCTGAGGACGGCTGCTTGCGTTGTGGCCGAAACGTCGTGAGAATTGTGTTTTATGTTTGATTTTTACTATTTTATTATTTCTCTTCTACGTGACTTTACCGAAAGAACCAAGAAGATGAAAGTGATCATCCCTTGTTCATCGTGACTGCAGGGATTCATCTTCTTGGTTATTTCGGTAAAGTCATCACGTAGAAGGGAAATAATAAAATAATAAAATAAAACATAATAAAGAGGTGTTTATAATAGGGTTAGATCGCGTAAATTTAGGCGATCTAACCCAAAAAAAACTTTTATGGATGATAACCCAAAAAAACCTCCTATGGATGATATTGGTCGCGAAAGTCACCCACGTGGAGGAAAATCTCTCGCTCGGACGACGCCTTCACAGCCGCCACCTTCCCCGAGGCACACATTTAGACTGCGGTGTTGCGGTGGTTACTAATACGAACAACTTGAAATGTTAACTTCATTAGGCAATTCACGTCGAAAGAATAAATATATTTTAAAAAACAATGAAATGTAACACAAAAAAGCTTTTTATAGAACAGTCTTTTTTTTCGATTTTAAGCTTTCGTGACTGCAGGGATTCATCTTCTTGGTTCTTTCGGTTAAGTAACGTAGAAGGGAAATAATAAAATAAAAACATAATAAAATAATTCTCACGACGTTTCGGCCACAACGCAAGCAGCCGTCCTCATATCTGCATTTCCCATAAATATGCAAAATTCCTCTTCATATGCAAATTCCTTTGTCAAGGCGCCCTTCCCCCCTCCAACGCAGCTTAAATATACGCTGCCAAGCCTGGTGGTGTCCATTTAGATGCTGTCTTTCCGACAGACTTGTTCTTCACCTGAGGACGGCTGCTTGCGTTGTGGCCGAAACGTCGTGAGAATTGTATTTTATTATGTTTTATTTTTATTATTTTATTACTTCCCTTCTACGTGACTTTACCGAAAGAACCAAGAAGATGAATCCCTGCAGTCACGAAAGCTTTAAATCGAAATATAATAATTATTTTAACATATTATTATTTTAATATTATATATTATTATATTATTTTATTATGTTTTATTTTTAATTTCCCTTCTACGTGATGACTTTACCGAAAGAACCAAGAAGATGAGTCTTTTTTTTTATTAGAAAAATAATTTCTCATCTCCAGCTGCTTGGTGGGGGAGGCGCCCCAACGCCACCTAGTGGACGAACCGCGCCTGCCCCCTACTGGACATCTGCGTCAAAGAGCTTTAGAGCTCATCGGATTTACTTCTGCAGTATCAATCACGATTCCGATTCGAACCCAGCGCAATCGATTCCTTAACCCCCACCCAACCTTGCAAACCTCTACACCAAATCGATTCACCTAGCGCACAACCCCCTAACCATCGATTCCGACTCCGTTAATTACTGTATAGCCCAACGGAATCGATTGCTTTGAATCGACGACAATCGAGAATCGATTCCTCCCGCCAAACAACAACAAGGCAATAAAAATGGCGGCGCTGTACGGCTCCGTGTCGGGGTTCAGGTGAGAGGCTCCGTTAGAGCGGCGACTTCTTTATCCACAAACTTCGCCCCGCTCCCCTCACCTTTTTAAACGCAAACTCGACGAAGCGACGTCGCGTTTGAGCACTCGTCCGACGCTCGAATTACGTTGGGGGGCTACACACAAAGTTTAACGACGTCGCAACGAGTTGCGGCCTAGGCGAGGATGAACCCACCATCACCACACAGACTCATGGGGGGTGGAATTCAACATAAAAATGTATTTTAATTTAAAGTTTTCGTGACTGCAGGGATTCATATTCTTGGTTCTTTCGGTAAAGTAACGTAGAAGGGAAATAATAATAAGTAAACATACAAAAAAATTGATATTATTTTATTATCTTCTTGGTTCTTTCGGTAAAGTCACGTAGAAGGGAAGTAATAAAATAATAAAAATAAAACATAATAAAACAATTCTCACGACGTTTCGGCCACAACGCAAGCAGCCGTCCTCAGGTGAAAACCAGGTCCGTCGAGGCGACAGAGTCTGAATGAAACAGCACACGGGCTTAGAGCATATATATAAGCTGGGCGCATTGACAAAGGAATTTGCATATCAACAGGAATTTAGCATATTTATGGGAAATGCAGGAATGTAATTAGTACTGCATATGCATGTGCATTCATTACATTCCTGCATTTCCCATAAATATGCTAAATTCCTGTTGATATGCAAATTCCTTTGTCAATGCGCCCAGCTTATATATATGCTCTAAGCCCGTGTGCTGTTTCATTCAGACTCTGTCGCCTCGACGGACCTGGTTTTCACCTGAGGACGGCTGCTTGCGTTGTGGCCGAAACGTCGTGAGAATTGTTTTATTATGTTTTATTTTTATTATTTTATTACTTCCCTTCTACGTGACTTTACCGAAAGAACCAAGAAGATGAATCCCTGCAGTCACGAAAGCTTTAAATCGAAATTATTTTATTAATAGTATTATATTAATAATAATGTAATTTTTTTATTATGCTTTATTATTATTTTATTATTAGTATTAATAATAATTAAATGTTTGTTCATTTTTTCTTTTTTTATTATTTCCCTTCTACGTGACTTTACCGAAAGAATCAAGAATAAGACTTAAATGACTATTACTCGGAATACTTTTATTAATAGACATTAATAATTATTCACTTTAAGATGGTTTTTTTGTTCATGTTTTTGTTTGTTGCGGTTGCACCCGATTCACAAGAGCCGAATGGCTCACAGGGCTACACCTAATACATGAACTTGAACTTGATGTCGGGGTTCAGAGGTGGAGAGGCTCCTCCGTGGCGAGGGAGAGCGACTTTATCGACAAACATCCTTGGGGGCAACTACTCTTTGGTATCTTTCGGTAAAGTGACGTATGAAGAGAAAATAATAAATTAAATACTAGCACACGACGTTTCGATTGCAACACAAGCAATCATCATCAGGTATAAATGAAATAGAAACACAAATCTAGTAGACTTGTAAATGTAATGTAATACAACAGAGAGTCGGATAACATAACAGTCAACACCCTACCTGGTTGATTACGTTCTTCCTGAGAATGCTAAATTTGAGAGAGAGATAAACCCCCCTAACGCATCGTCTATTTTCCCCCTTTTACAAACGCAAACTCCAAACTTGTCCCCCGCGAAAGAAACCTCGTTCGGGGTGCACACAGAAGCAACGTCGCAGCGAGTTGCGGCCTAGGCGATGATGGTTCCCAACAAAGACAAACATCCCCCGTGTAGCCTGCAACAGACTGTTGATACTCCGACTGATGCTCCTGCTGTTGTGGAGTGACTCATGCAGCCAGCTATGGCTGCAGGGTTTGGTAGTACATGTTGTTTATGTCGTTTATTGTGAAAATTCGGTCACAGTTCCTATGACCACTGTTTCATTGCTTTTATGGCTTTATTTTGGTGATTTTCGAAAAGTTTTTTGGTTTGGCCATGTTTGTTTGTTGTAGTACAGAGTTAGACTGATGGCCTTAATCTAAGTTGTCTTGTGGTTGTTGTTGTTTGAATTGCATCCCACTGGGATTTTTGCACACAGCGTTGGTGTACAGGTGATTTTTCTGCAATATTTTGCTGTCTTTTCTTGGATTTTCTGTTTGCACATAGTCACTTTAAGATGTTTTCTTGTTCATGTTTTTTGTTTGTTGCGGTTGCACCCGATTCAAGAGCTGAATGGCTCACAGGGCTATACCTAATAAATTAACTTTGAACTTTGAGAGGCAAGCGCAGTTAGCAAGTAGCAGCACCCGTAAAGGCAATGCACAGCACACGAGGTTTGGGGGGAGGGGAAGTGGTCAACACAACGCCCGACCGCCTTTGTCTCTCCAGCGGCGATGTTTACATCGCACCGGGTGCACATTTGAGGCCGAGTCGACCTAGGGGAGGGCCCAGGACCGGTTCAAATAATCGATATCAACCGGGGTGTTGGCCGTGAGTGGGAATCGAACCCGGGTCGCCAGGTTCGTAGCGCTAACCGCTGCGCCACCGCTTCCCACAACCACCACACAAACACAACCACGCGCAAAGATCCCTCCCGTGTGTTACTTCTCGTGCAAGAGGGCTGTCGGGCAAAGGTCGCAAACTGGTTTTGATTCCTTACCCGTATCCGTACCCGGCCGCACCAGGGTTGCAAACGGGTACCCGTACCCGGCCGTACCCGTACCCTACCCGTACCCGGCCGGGTACGGGTAGGGTACGGGTATCGGGTACCCAATTGTGACCTCTGGGATGAAGCCATGTTGCAGGCGCGGGTGGGTTGATTCTGGCAAATGAGTGACAAACGGTTACTCACGAGTGACTCACGGCCTACCCGTACCCGGCCGCACCAGGGTCGCAAACGGGTACCCGTACCCGGCCGGGTACGGGCTACCCGTACCCGGCCGGGTACGGGTAGCCGGTTATCGGGTAGGGTACGGGTATCGGGTACCTGATTGCGACCTCTGATGTCGGGGCAATTTTGGCTGTTAGTGGCGAGTGGCAGCAGTGCCTGTGGAAGGCTCTACCGGCACTGTGGCACACAACCACGCACGCCCGCCCCTCCGCCTTTGTCTCTCTCCGCCAGTAGCGACTTTTTACTGCACACCGCACCAGGTAACGCATTTGAGGCCGAGTCAACCTAGGGGAGGAGGCCTAGGACCGGCAAAGACCGAGATCCTCCGTGCTGTAAGTCGCGAGTAGCAGTAGCGCCTATGAAGGGTGGCACGCAGAGGGGGGGTGGGTGGCCTGCACCACGCCCGGCCGCCTTTGTTTCTTTTTGCAGTGGTGATGTTTGCTATACACTACTGCACCAGGTAGTAATTTGAGGCTGAGTCGACTTAGGGGAGGCCCATGACCGGTTCAGATAAACGCTATCACTAGTGTTGGCGGTGGTGGCTGTGAGCGGGAGTCTACTGTGTTAGCAGCACAGTGCATCTACTGGACATCAGGATGAATGGAGACTGATTCTGCTCAAGAGCGCGAACCACTGCCATCACCCAAGCACAGTTAAAGGCTATATGGGGGATCTTTGTATTTTATGTGAGTCTATAGGTATATGGGTCTCTGTGTGTGTCTATGGGTCTCTGTGAAGTCCATGGGTTTCTGAGTTAGTCTATGGGTCTCCGAGTGAGTATATGGGTCTCTGTGTGAGTCAGTGGGTTTCTATGTGAGTATATGCGTCCCTGTGAGTATATGCGTGTCTGTGTGAGTCGATGTGGGTACTATGTGAGTATGTAGTTATAACTCTTTGTCTGTGTCTGTCACTCGCAGAATGTTAAGGGTGGCGACCAGAATGATGGGAGTTACTCAACAAACAGGTAAATATCACCATCACCACCGTCATCATCACCACCATCACCACGATTATCACGACCATCATCACCACCATCATTACCATCATCAACCAGCCCATGATCATGACTATCATCACCACCACCATCATCACTACCACCATCATCACCATCATCATCACCATCATCCACATCTGCATGCCTTGTGTGTCACCGCATCGCCGGGCGCTTTCATATGCATCTGGAACACTCTTCCGATATTAGGAAGCCACCAGGAGCTGTGCTCCACTTTTAAATGATCATCATTTAGATTGAAAAAATAATTTCATTAAAACTGCTTGTTGTTGTGTTTAGTTTGTTGTCCTTCCCCCGCCACCTTCGATTATCACGGTTGCCTTGGGTGCGAAAGAAGTGCAACAGATATACAGGTCACTCTGTATGTGTCTATGTCTCCCCCCCTCTCTAACTCTCACTCTCTCCCTCTCTTCTCTCTCCCCCCTCTTCCTTTCTCCCTCACTTTCCCCTGCTCCTTCCCGTTATCTCCCTCCCCCCTTCTCTTCCCCACTCTCTCTCCCTCTCACACACTCTCCACTCTTCTCTTCCTTTCTCCCGCTCTCTCTCCCGCTTTCTCAGTTCGCTCTCTCTTCGTCCAGACCCAGGACACCCCCAACCCTAACAGCATCAAGTTCCTCCCGGGCCGAACCATTCTCGAGACGGGGACCATGGACTTTCCCTCTCAGCGGGAGGCCCACCGCTCCCCCCTCGCCAGGTGCAAAGGTGGTGCAGTCCAATTGTTAGCAGAAGGCCCCAGAGGTGTGGACTCGAGTCATGTGACTTGGACTCGAGTCAGACTCGAGTCATGAATTTGATGACTTCAGACTCGACTTGGACTTGCATAACAATGACTTTGTCCCACCTCTGAGGTGTGGACTCGAGTCATGTGACTTGGACTCGAGTCAGACTCGAGTCATGAATTTGATGACTTCAGACTCGACTTGGACTTGCATAACAATGACTTTGTCCCACCTCTGGAAGGCCCCCCTACTACACAATGTACAGCCCAACTGTTAGCAGGGCCCCCCCTACTATACAATGTACAGCCCAACTCTGTTAGCAGCCCCCCCCCCCCTACTCTACATTACACATGGTACAGCCCAACTTCTGTGCTTGTTACATTCAATTATAAATATCTAACCTGGCGTCTTGCCCCGTGTCTCTCTCCCTGTGTGTCTTTCTCCCCGTGTCTCTCTCCCCCTGTGTCTTTATCTCTCTGCATCTCTCCCCGTGTCTCTCTCCATCTCTCCCCGTGTCTCTCTCTGTCTCTCAGGCAGTTGTTCAGAGTTGAAGGAGTCAAGAGTGTTTTTCTAGGACCGGATTTCATCACCATCACCAAGGTGAGGAGGACGACGATGATGATGGAAGTTGGAGTGAGATGATGGGTGAGGTAATGAGTGAGGGGGTGGAGGTGGAGAAGGTTGAGGTGGGGGGAAGGTGAGGAGGAGGAGAAGGAGGGGGGGAGGGTGAGGAAAGGGAGGAGGATGTGGAAGGGGTGGAGGAGGAGGAGGTGGAGGAAGTCAGGAGGAGGGGGCTAGGTGATTCATGAGGTGCCAAAACCTCCCCACCATGGTTGGCCACCCACCCCCTCGTGTGCCACAGTGCTGGCCTTCAAAGGTGCTGCTGCTACTCAATACTAAAAGCACTTGTCGCTACAGCCTGCTAGAGGCTTTCCAGGGGATCTTTGCCGGTGCTGGGCCTCCTACCCTAGGTTGACTTGGCCTCAAATGAGTTACCTATTGCAGGCTACAACGGGGGATCTTTGTGTGTGTGGTGGTGGTGTTGGTGCTGTGTTTGTGGTGGTGGCGGTGATGGTGGTATCATGTGTGTGTGGTGATGGTGGTATTGTGTATGTGTGGTGGTGATGGTAATGGTGTTGGTGTGGATGGTATCGTGTGTGTGGTAATGAATTGAGGGTGGAGGGGTTACCAGCCCCTCGCACCTGTCCAGAGCCCCTGTTTAGCCACTGTGGTGGTCACAGACGCCATGAGGGGAGAGGCCAATGGGCATTGGCCCTCCCCCCACAGCGCTGTCCACGACAGTGTTGCCCATCCTGCACCGCGAGGAGGTAGGGGTGCGACAGGGATGTCCTGGCTCCCACATTATTTAACATCTATTTTGACCGCGTAGTTCGTGAATCCTTCAATAGCTGTACCGGGGGAATTTCCATTTGGTACAGATATAATGGGAGGCTGATCGATGCCCGGGTGCGATCAAGGGATGGTTCCCTATTGGTCAACCACGTTATGTATGCCGATGATTTGGTAATAGCTGCTCATTCAGAAGAAGAGTTGGAGACGCTGCTGCTGAGGCTGGAGCGTGCCACTAAGAGGTGGGGCCTTACCATCAGCCCCACCAAAACTAAGCACCTGCCTGGGTATTTTATACCATCGGACACTCCACCCCCACAACTCCCAATCGGTGATGGGGCAGTAGTGGAGAGAGCGGAGAGTTTCCCATACCTGGGCAGTCTGCTCATGACCGGCTCTGGTTTGACAGCAGCGGTCTCACTCCGAATGAGTGAAGCAGCATCTTTTCATCGGTTGCATAACGCTGCGTGAAAGCTACCTGGTCTGTTGCTCCACACGAAGCTTCAGGTCTGCTTGACCACAATCATGCCGTCCCTTCTCTGCATTTGCGAAACGTGGACTCCCCTAATGGAACACCATCGCCGGTTAGAAACATTTAAGCTGGCCTGCCTACGATCCATCCTGGGTTTAACAAGGCTGAGGAGCTCAAAAATCCTTGAAAGATCTGGACACAGTCCCATCGGTGAGCTCCTCCGGCAGACAGGGCTGCATTGGCTGGGTCATGTAGCCCGCATGCCCAGCCATCACATGCCTTAACAGATTTTGTTTGGCTGGATACAGGGAGCTAAATGGGCACGGCACAGGCTAGAGAAGAGATGGAGTGATGTGGTAGAGGAGGATGTGGAGCTGAATGGACTTGCCGATGACTGGTACCAGCGGTGTCAATATCGGCCTCTGTGGAGGAGGCTCGTAAAGGACGCTACTGGGCAGTTGGAGGCAGTCGTCCTCCAGCAACAATGAAGGGCAGAGGAGCGACGCTCACAACGAATGGAGTGTCGTGCGGCTTAAAACACAGCAAATTGGCATAGTAGTGGGCACAGGTGGTGCATCAGCCAGTCATCTCAGTCTGTCAACCTATAGCTCCTGGGTCTGTCCCATGACCTGGCAGTGGGTGTTCAACCCTTCACCACTTGGCCTTAAAGTGGACAGCCTGGCACAGGTACCGTGGTGACGTCACCACCACTTCGTGGCCAATGGCAGTTGTGGGTGGTGGTTTCATGTGTGTGGTGATGAAGATGGTGGTACCGTTGTTGTGTACATGGTGGCGGTGATGGCGGCGATGGTGGCGATCGTGATGGTGATGGGTGGCTGTGTCGGTGTCTCCGCTGGAGGTGGAGGAGGATTCCTGGAAGCTTCTGAAGCCCGAGGTGTTCGCGGCCATCATGGACTTCCTGTCGTCGGGGCTGCCCGTGGTCACCATGGCCACCCCCGCCCCCCAGGTGGGGGAGGGGGTGGCGGTGGCTGGGGGTGAGGATGGGGGAGAGGACGAGGAGGTGGTGGCACTTATCAAGGAGCTGCTCGACTCGCGAATACGGTGAGCCCTGAGCGGTGAGCGCGTCTGGTGGGTAGTGAGCGGTGAGCGCGTCTGGTGGGTAGTGAGCGGTGAGCGCGTCTGGTGGGTAGTGAGCGGTGAGCGCGTCTGGTGGGTAGTGAGCGGTGAGCGCGTCTGGTGGGTAGTGAGCGGTGAGCGCGTCTGGTGGGTAGTGAGCGGTGAGCGCGTCTGGTGGGTAGTGAGCGGCGAGCGCGTCTGGCGGGTAGTGAGCGGTGAGCGCGTCTGGTGGGTAGTGAGCGGTGAGCGCGTCTGGTGGGTAGTGAGCGGTGAGCGCGTCTGGTGGGTAGTGAGCGGTGAGCGCGTCTGGTGGGTAGTGAACGGTGAGCGCATCTGGTGGGTAGTGAGCGGCGAGCACGTCTGGTGGGTAGTGAGCGGTGAGCGCGTCTGGTGGGTAGTGAGCGGTGAGTGCGTCTGGTGGGTAGTGAGCGGTGAGCGCGTCTGGTGGGTAGTGAGCGGTGAGGGCATCTGGTGGGTAGTGAGCGGTGAGGGCATCTGGTGGGTAGTGAGCGGTGAGGGCGTCTGGTGGGTAGTGAGCGGTGAGGGCGTCTGGTGGGTAGTGAGCGGTGAGCACGTCTGGTGGGTAGTGAGCGGCGAGCGCGTCTGGTGGGTAGTGAGCGGTGAGCACGTCTGGTGGGTAGTGAGCGGCGAGCGCGTCTGGTGGGTAGTGACCGGCGAGCACGTCTGGTGGGTAGTGAGCGGCGAGCACGTCTGGTGGGTAGTGAGCGGTGAGCGCGTCTGGTGGGTAGTGAGCGGTGAGCGCATCTGGTGGGTAGTGAGCGGTGAGCGTGTCTGGTGGATAGTGAGCGGTGAGCACGTCTGGTGGGTAGTGAGCGGTGAGCACGTCTGGTGGGTAGTGAGCGGTGAGAGCATCTGGTGGGTAGTGAGCGGCGAGCACGTCTGGTGGGTAGTGAGCGGTGAGCGCATCTGGTGGGTAGTGAGCGGTGAGCGCATCTGGTGGGTAGTGAGCGGTGAGCGCGTCTGGTGGGTAGTGAGCGGTGAGCGCGTCTGGTGGGTAGTGAGCGGTGAGGGCGTCTGGTGGGTAGTGAGCGGCGAGCACGTCTGGTGGGTAGTGAGCGGTGAGGGCGTCTGGTGGGTAGTGAGCGGTGAGCACGTCTGGTGGGTAGTGAGCGGTGAGCACGTCTGGTGGGTAGTGAGCGGTGAGGGCATCTGGGGTGAGTGGTGTGCGGTGATTGTTGTTGGACTGTGCTTCTGCGCCCCCCCCAATGGCCAGGATCACCCACCCACTCAACCAAACACTCTCCCCATGTCTCCCCCCGTGTCTCGCTCCACCCATGTCTGTCCCCGGTGTCTCTCCCCCCGTGTCTTTCTCCTCGTGTCTCTCCCCCGTGTCTCTCACCGTGTCTCTCCCCCGTGTCTCTCTCCCCGTGTCTTTCTCACCATGTCTCTCCCCCGTGTCTCCCCGTGTCTCTCCCCCGTGTCTCTCTCCCCGTGTCTCTCTTCCCGTGTCTCTCCTCGTATCTCTATCCCCCCATGTGTCTCTCTGCCTCTGTTCCAGCCCCACGGTTCAGGAGGACGGTGGCGACGTGGAGTTTCGTGGTTTCCGCGACGGTGTCGTGTCGCTTCGTCTGCAGGGCGCCTGCACCTCCTGCCCCTCATCCTCACTCACGCTCAGCAGCGGCATCCTGAACATGATGCAGTTCTACATCCCAGAGGTTACCTCTGTGGAGCAGGTGAGAGAGAGATGGTGAGAGGGAGAGAGAGAGTGGGGGGAGAGAGACAGGAGAGATAGGGAGAGAGAGATGGTGAAAGAGAGGAGAGAGATAGGGGGGAGATGTAGTTCTACGTCCCAGAGGTGACCTCCGTGGAGCCGGTGAGAGAGAGAGAGATGGTGAGATGGTGTGAGATAGATGGTGAGATGGTGTGAGAGAGTGGGGGGAGAGAGACAGGAGAGAGAGGGGGAGGGAGAGAGAGGTGGGAGAGAGGGGTGGGAGAGAGGGGAGGAGAGGAAGAGGGGGGAGAGGAAGAGGGGGCGAGAGGAGAGATGGGAGAGATATGGAGGGTGAGGGAGGTAGAGAGAGGGAGATTGTGAAAGCCATCAACACTTGCCCCGATTGTCTGTTGAGGCTACATGGTGGACCTTTGTGCTTGTGTGTACGCACCCTACAAACCCGGCAATGACCCTAGTTCGATTCCCGCTCATTGTCACCAACACCAATGATGGCGATTACCTGAACTTGCCCTGGGCCTCCCCTAGGTCGACTCAGCCTCAAATGAGTACCTGGTTCGGTGGTGTGTAAGTTGGCATCGCCGCTGGGAAGACAAAGGCGGCCAGGTGTGGTGCCGGTCTTCATAGGCAATGCTACTCGCTCCTCACAGCCACTTACCCCAACAGTCTGTACCAGTCTACACTGGGGATATTTGTCTTGGCCTTTGTATTTGTGTACGAGTGTGTGTGTGTATGGATGTGTGTGTGTGAGTGCACGTGTCCAATTTGTATTTAACATCACCACTGGGAAGACAAAGGCGTATGTATGTATGTATGTTGAACCTTGCTCATCGGGGGTGTGGTGCCAGAGTGCCGGCCTTTATCGATGCGTCTTCTTGGTTCTTTCGGTAAAGTCACGTAGAAGGGAAGTAATAAAATAATAAAAATAAAACATAATAAAATAATTCTCACGACGTTTCGGCCACAACGCAAGCAGCCGTCCTCTTCACCTGAGGACGGTTGCTTGCGTTGCCGAAACGTCGTGAGAATTATTTTATTATGTTTTATTTTTATTATTTTATTACTTCCCTTTTACATGACTTTACCGAAAGAACCAAGAAGATGAATCCCTGCAGTCACGAAAGCTTTAAATCGAAATTCATCGATGCTGCTACTCGCTACTAGCAGCACTTGCCCCAACAGTCTGTTAAGGTTATTCAGGAGATGTTTGTGTGTGTTGGTATATGAGCGCGTGCGTGTCCGGTAAAACAGCCCCCTACCTACTCTTAGGTTTTTTCGGTAAAGTCACATAGGTAAAAATAAATAATAAAATAATATGAATAATGATAGAAATAAATTAATAAATCGTGCCGTTTCGGGGGCAACACAAGTCTCCGTCATCAGGTGGGACCGTCACAGCTAAATTTACTGTATCAAGTGATACAGTAAATTCGTATCAAGTGATAAAGTAAATTTAGCTGTGACGGTCCCACCTGATGTAGGACACTTGTGTTGCCTCTGAAACGTCGTGATTTATTATTTTATTTAAATTTTTTTCTTTTTACCTACGTGACTTTACCGAAAAAACCTAACAGTGTGAATCCTTGCAGTCACGAAAGCTTCAAATCTAGCCCCCTACCTCCCTGGTGTTGCCGGACGGTAACGCTGTGGTGCGCAATGCCATATGGGAAAGGCCGATTCCAATCGGCTGCTTCCCCTCATGGCGTTTGTAGCCACCACGGTCGGCCAATTGGGGCTCTCGGCAGGTGCGAGGGGTTTGTAACCCCTCCACCTTCAAATTTACCACCACTGAACGACATAGAAAAACAAATCTAAGCTTATGCCAGAGGCCCCAGGTTGACAGGCGTCTATGACGTCTCCCGGCGAAACCCCATTTGGCAGAGCCAGGAGACTGAACCCGCTCCCTCGGGGTTCCACCAGAAACGGTGAAAAGCCACCAAGTGTAGCCAGGTGTAATGTTTGAACACTCACTGCGGAGGAGAGGCTGCCCACTCCTCTGTCGGTAGCTGGACCGGTACCGCCTGGATCTCTGTGGCAATCAGGAGGTCCGGTGGACCGGCTCTGGCTCCATTCACATTGAGGGATTGGAAAGTCCTCCACTCGTGGCAGGAGACTGCTAAACAACAGGGAGTGGCTCTTCTTCTGAAGCGGGGCAGTGAGGTGTGGGAAGCTGTGAGCCCCAGGCTACTGTAGGATTCTCCTCCCATTAATGGGAGGTGAAGAATAGTGGTGGTTGCTTCCGCCCCCACCGAAGATGAACATCAGCAGAGAGATGCAGGGCAAGGCCAATGAGTCAGATGCCTTCTATGACCTTGTCACAAGCGCTAGTAAAAGTGGCCTCTCAGGATAAAGTCATTCTGTTATGTGACTTTATTGCCTGAGTGGGTCATGATGCTGGCATGGGCCAGATCAGCTGAATACCAACGGTGAGAGGCTGCTCGACTTCTGTGCAGCCCATGGGCTTGTAATTACCAATGCGCCGTTCCGGCATCGGCGCATCCACACAACATCATGGATGCATGCCAGGTCCAAGCAAGAACATCTGCTGGACTATTTAGTGATAGGAACAGTGGATGCTGGGCCCATGTCCTTGACACCAGGACCTACCGTGGAGCTGATCTGCCCACTCACCATCGGCTTGTCATCTGTAAGATGCGCCTGCCATTATTCCACTCCGATGGTGGGTGTCCATCTAGGACCCCATTCAAACCCATAGTGGCCTGGTCTCAGCTAACTGATGAAAGTTGCAAGCGAGAATTATATCATCACATTCAGCTGGGGTTGGCATCGTCCCCCCCTCCTGATGCAGAGGGGAAATGGGCAAGGTTTAGGACTGGCTCATGCTACTGCAATGGCTGCTTTGAGTACACGGTCCAAACCTGCCCAGACTCCCAGGCTGACAGAGGAGGTGTTCCAGCTGAGGAGGCTTACCGCAGCCTTCGCTTGGAGGTTCGGAGAGCCGTGCGGCGCTGTAAGGGTGAGTGGTGGTCGCGGATTGCTGAGGAGATGGAGTCTGCCTCACTGGCTCACGATCACATCACTCTTTAATGGTTTCATAAAGTGACTTGCAGCGCCACACCAATCATTCTTAGAGGAAAGAATGGTGATCCGATCTTTGACCCCCAGCAACAAGTTTCCAGATTTGATGAATATTTCTGTAAGATCTTGGGGGAGGGGAAATCCCTCAGCCCAGACAACATTATGGGGCAAAGTGGGGATGACCCTTCTGAAGCTACTGTGCCTCAAATGTTGGAAGAAGTCACCCCCTGTGAGTGGCTGGCTGAAGTGCCATCTGTCGAGGAAGTACGGAAGGTATTCCAGAGTCTGAGACCAGGAAAATTGCCAGACAGAGATGATCTTACAAGTGAACTGCTGAGGCATGGTGGTGTTTGTGTGCAGACTGCCGATACGACATCATAATAAGGAGTACCTGTTATTTGGTTCTTTCGGTTAAGTCACGTCTAAAGATAAAATAATAAATTAACCCCCTCCCTCTCTCTGCCTCCACCCCCCTCTGTCTATTTAAGGCCACACCACAGAGACGATCACCCCTCTCTGTTACCTGTGTTGCTCTCTCTATGTATCTTGGTGATATCTGTCTACTAATATGTCTGTCTATAGTTTTCTGGTTAGATTTTATGTCGCTATTTCATTATACCTGATGATGATTGCTTGTGTTGCAATCGAAACGTCGTAATATGCTATTATTTAATTTATTATTTTATCTTTTGACGTGACTTAACCCGAAAGAACCAAATAATAATTTCTGCAGTCACGAAAGTCCTAAATTAAGAAGGAGTACCTGGTGCTGGTGTGTAAAAACATCGCCACTGGGAAGACAAAGGCGGTCGGACGTGGTGTTGGTCCACCCATCGCTTCATGTGCCATTCCGGCCTTCATAGGTGCTCGCTAATTGCACTTGCCCCAACGGTCTGTTAAGGCTATATGAGGGGTCTTTATGTATGAGTATCTGTGAGTGCCGTGTCCAATGTGTGTTAAACATCACCTCTCGGTACTGCTACTCGCTAACAGCACTTGCCCGTTGCAGTCTGTTTAGGCTATAAGGGGATCTTGTGTGTGTGTGTGTGCAGGTTAAGGATGAAATTGATGATGTGACTGAGAAGACATTTGAAGAGTTTGAAAAGAAGCAGGAGGAGAAGAAACCACAGAGGCCTTGACAGATAAACACACTCATCGCTTCACTCATAGACTCACTCATAAACTTACTCATAAACTCACTCGTATACTGACTCATAGGCTTACTCATTGACTCTCTGTCACATAGACTCTCACATAGACTCACTCATAGACTCTCTGAATCATATGCTCACTCAATCATAGACTCAATCATAGATTCAATCATAGACTCACTCTCACATAGTCACTCATAGACTCTCATATACTGACTCATAGGCTTACTCATAGACTCACTCACAGACTCACTGTCACATAGACTCTCACATAGACTCACTCATAGACTCTCTGAATCATATGCTCAATCATAGACTCAATCATAGATTCAATCATAGACTCACTCTCACATAGTCACTCATAGACTCTCATATACTGACTCATAGACTTACTCATTGACTCACTGTCACATAGACTCTCACATAGACTCACTCAATCATATACTCAATCATATACTGACTCATAGGCTTACTCATAGACTCACTCATATACTGACTCATAGACTCTCACATAGACTCACTCATAGACTCTCTCAATCATATACTCACTCAATCATATACTCAATCATATACTCAATCATAGACTCAATCAATGACTCACTCTCACATAGTCACTCATATACTGACTCATAGGCTTACTCATAGACTCACTCATAGACTCACTGTCACATAGACTCTCACATAGACTCACTCAATCAGAGAACCAATCATAGACTCAATTGTATACACAAACATAGACTCACTCAACCATAGACTCACTCAACCATAGATTCACTCTAACATAGAATCACTCGTAGACTCATTCACACAAAGACGAAGATCCCCTGTATAGCCTCTTAACAGGCCGTTGGGTCAAGTGCTGTTTGCTAATACTCGCAGCAGCAGCAGCAGCGCCTATGAAGGCCGGCATTGTGGTACCCGAAGGTGACCAGCGCTATGACCTGCCCTGCCGCCTCTGCCTCCCCGGTGCTGATGTTTAAAACACTGCACGGGGTACTTGTGTAATCAGGCTGAGTCGACCTAGGGTAGGCCCAGGACCGGTTCAGATAATCGCTGCTGTCACTGGTGGTCGGCCGTGAGTAGGAATCGAACTCGGGTCTCTGCCGAGTTTGTAGTGCGGATCGATGCGCCAACCGCTGCGCCACCTCTCTCCAACCACGCACGACTCAAAAAAAATATATACACTATACTGTATACTGCTACGTTGAATTTATTGAAGGCTGAGCCTACCTAGGCGTTGGCCGCGCGCTACACGTGCGTTTGTGTGTGCAATTGCCCCCCCCCCCCCCGCCTCTAAACTTTGTAACTAATTGGCGGGAAATGTCATTGGCACACATTGGTTGGCATCGAGCTGAGTTGCTGGTAATAAAGTTGAGGTAAATCTCACGCCCATGTGTGTGTGTGTGGGTGTGCATGCGGGCGCTAGTGGGTGCGGGCGCGTTGTATGTGTTGGTCAAGGGTGGCACAGTCGGGTTTTTTACAATCGGGTTTAATTGTCTTTTTATATTAAACCCGATCATCTGAGATTGGGAGCAATCCGGTTTAATTGGTTCTAATTGCAGAATCCGCACTTCTCAACGATGGACTTCATCCATTCCAAGCTAAGGAACTCACTGGCGCCCACGATTGTGGAGAAGCTCGTGTTCATCACGACCAACCTGCCCGCCGCATTCTACGACTACCCCGTGCCCGACGGCCCCCCCGAGTACGATAGCAGCACCGACGAGGAAGCAGCCTAAGCCTTGGATCAGAGTTTCGTATTCATTAAACCAGGTTTTAATTCGCCCAAATCGGGTTTAATTGTATTAAAGAAAAAACCCGATGCCTGCCGCTGGAAAAATCGGGTTTTTTCCACCCATGGTGTGGGTCTGCATATGGCCTGGCACAGGCGTTGTCGTGATGTCACCACCACTTTGTGGCAAATGGCGGTTGTTGTGTTTGTCTGTGGATGGGTGGGTGGGGAACGTTAGTGTAGCGGTTCACGCGCTGCACTACGAACCTGGCGACCAGAGTTTGAGTCCCGCTCACGGCCAACATCGTTGACGAATATCTGAACCGGTCCTGGGCCTCTCCTAGGTCGACTCAGCCTCAAATAAGTACGTGTCGCGGTGCGTTAAAAACATGGCCACTGGGGAGACAGGCGGACCTGGCCTAGTGCTGGCCACCCACCTCCCTCGTGTGCACTTCTGGGCCTTCATAGGTGGTCACTAACAGCACTTGCCCCAACAGTCTGTTCGGGCTATACAGTGATACCTCGGTTCACGAACGCTTCTGTTCACGAACAACTCGGTTCACGAACAGAAAAGTTCATAAAAATATGCTCCGGTTCACGAACTCCGCTTCGGTTCACGAACAGGAGCCGCGGCCATTTTAAAATGCTATTTCCAGGCTGTCACATGGTCGTGACTTCCTGTAGGAAGTTCGTGGAGAGAAGAAGAGACACAGAAGTACTGTGAGTACTGTGAAGACACTTTCAGTGACTTTTTGGTGTGCTTTTTAGCACATACTGTACTGTACTACTGTACTGTACAATACTGTACTTACTGTATTGTACAGTTCACCTGTTTGAGTGCTTACTGAAGTCATCTCAAGCAAGGTTAGTGTTCTCTCTTTATACATTACTATACTGTACAGTACTAATGTGTATTGTAATTTGTTTCATATTTTTGTGCTTCAAAAACCAAAAAAAAAGGTCAGAACGGATTAACCGGATTTACATTGAACCCTGTGGGAAAATGTGCCTCGGTTCACGACCAATTCGGTTCGCGACCAGAGTCAGTTCACGAATTAAGTTCGTGAACCGAGGTATCACTGTACGGACGGGGAGGGGAGGGGGGTGTTCTCCTTAGCACGTAATCCAGCAGTGTGGAGGCAGCGAGGGTCAGTGGATTGTCGCACAAAATGTCGTGAAACTCCCCATGGGTGTCGGAGAGGAGCCGTACCGTGGCGAGCCAGAAGGCGGTACAACAATGTATCTTGAACTTCTTTGGCACCGTACGTAGCCAACCGTGCTAATCAGATGTGCGGGCGGAAGGACAACAAACTAAAGACAAAAATCAGTTCTAAAGAAATTAGTATTTCGATTTAGATTTCAAATTGCTTAGCTCCACGGCCGCAAAAGAGGATCTGAAAGCGCCGCGCGATGCGGTGACCGCCATCTTTCTTCGATGGCCACCCAAAAGCCGCTGCTGCAAGGATAACGATCGGAGTTCGCGTGGTGATGGTTTATTTCTCCTTGATGAGAGGTTTACGCTCCTTAGGCAAGTGGAGTAATCGCCATCCCTTTCCATCCGTGACGAGGACAGAATCATTGCCCTCTCGCACAATGAGTGGTGGGGTTTCCTCCGTGTGTTCCGGCAATCCGCTCGCATGAGTAATAAACAACTCATCGTTCATCGGCTCCAAACAAAAAAAACTCAAACTTCAATGTAGCAGCGACAGGACCTTCCTGGAAAAGTCCTAGGAGTCTAAACTAAACTCCGAAGCGACCTGGCTATCACCAATGATCGCTCAACGAAGTGTCTAATCATCACACGGAAATATTCAGCAGCTACATATTCTAAACGTGTGGTGATGTTGATTCTAAATGTGGAGCGAAAAGCTGGAGGAACCTGAGAAAAATCCACAACCATGGGGAGAGAGACAAACATTCCAAATATTACAGCAACAGGTGTCGGGGTCAGGATCAAACCCACTGTCCTGTATACCGGGAGAGGTAGTTAACATCCTAGCCAACGTGGTGCCCCCTGAGTCGGTGTGGCTCACCTGAACATCTGTAAAAAGATCTTCACAGCTCATCGGATTTCTTCCAGGATAAAGACTCTGATTACGAAATAAATTAATAAACTCTGCGTTTGGGAATCTCGCGCAGATTAAAGCAAACGCCACAGATGTCGTTACGAATGGGCTACATCTTTGTTTTTATTTATTTTTTAAACATCAACAAGAGTTTGTTCATCAAGTACCGTGCCACAGACGCAACAACGCAAACCGTGAGGTGTGAGGTTAACAACGAGAGACCGTAACCTAATCGAGATTTAACCCATGGCATCGAAATCAACGCAAAATCTACACCACGTATTCACTCCCTCGTCATGACGACAATGACTATAACAATGACGACAATAACATCTACGACGACTATCACTGTGACTGATGACTATGATGTCTTTGACGACTATGACGATGACTATCACAATGACTATGCCGATAACGGCTATAACTATGATGATGACTAACACATTCCTGCGGAGGGAGCTGGTAGGAACGTTGGGTTGCTCGGTCAATGGCCAGGGTCAACGGCGGCGTGGTGTATTCTGCAAATATGGCCGACTGTGAGGGCGGGCACAAGCCGGTGTGAGTAGGTTAAACGTTGAGTTTTATAAGGGCACCACGGGGTGACCAGCCCCTCCCCACCCAGCCCCACCCCTCCCACCCCCCACCCAACCCCACCCTCCCCACCCAGCCCCTCCCCACCCTCCCCACCCAGCCCCTCCCCAGCCTGACCCCTCCCATTTTTGGATGCACGACGGACGGACGGACAATAATCCCCTGTGGGCTGGTGGAACCAGGTGGTTCCTACCAGTATGATTATAACGATGGCGATGGCTATGCCTGTGAATTGGTGAAGATGGCAATGGTTCTATCCCTAAACCCTCCCACTCTCCATAACATCTACGCTATTCCACGAGCTCTCTCCGCCCTCGCAATTGACTCTCCCCTGGCTTCTCTCATCTCTCTTCTTTCTCTTCCCATCCCATCACTTCCCATCACTTCCCCTCTCTCCCATCTAGATTGAAAACTCATTTATTTAGAACTGCTTTACGTGTTAGTTTGCTGTTATTCCCCCGCACCTCCGATTAGCGTGGTTGGCTACGTACAAAAGAAGTTCAACATCCAGACAGACATCTCTGCCCCTCTTCCCCTCTCTCCAATCTCCTTTCTCTCATCTCTCTCCTTTCTCTTCCATCTCTTCACCTGCACTCGGCCACCATCATGCTCTCGTAGAAGATAAGTGACCACTCTTATTCTTCCCCATCTCTCTGTTTCCCCCAATCCTTCCCATCTCTCCCCCACCCCCTTCTCTCCCATCTCACTCCCCCTGTATCTCTGTCCCCTATCTACACCCGCATTCGGCCACAATCATTCCCTCGTAGCGGTAGCGGTAGGTGACCTTGCCGGCCGGGTCCAGGTACAGGATGGAGATGGCCTCAAGTCGTGTGGGCACGCAGCAGGGCCGCATGACCGCTTCGGGCCGCCGCGTGTGAAGGAGTGCGCGCACGATCGCGTGCTTCGTGGGCGTCACGTGGTCCATGAGCGGAAACGAGCAGTTGCCCACGCAGTCGTACGCCTCGTACTCCTGCGTGTGGGGGGGGGGGTGTGAGGCCAGAGGGTTTGAGACTGATCAAAGAAGACTTTCTTGGGTGAATGTACTGGGACAGTCTTCGTATTACGAACATAATTCACAGCACTCCTTGTGCTCCTGTGTGGAGGAGAGGGGCAGGGGCAGAGGGTGGTTTGAGCCTATGGGTCAAAGAAGGGCTGTTTCTGGTGTGAATGTGTATACGGGACAGTCACCGACTTACGAACTATAATTCGTGCAGTCTTACGCCTCGTACTCCTGTGTGTGCGGGGAGGGGAGGCGCGTGGAGGGGGAGGATGGTGAGGGGGGAGAGGTGGAGGTTTTAAGACTACGGGTCAAGGAAGGGCTGTCTGGTTAATGTGGGTGCATGTGTATATGTACGTGTGTGTGTGTGTAAAGCAACTCCATACCTCCTCGGTGGTGCCGGACTGTAACGCTGTGGTGAGCAATGCCACGGAGGGAAGGCCAATTTCGAAATCAGCCTTTCCCCTCATGGCGCTTGTCGCCACCACAACAGCAGCCAATTGGGGGCTCTGGATGGGTGCGAGGGGCTGGTAACCCCTCCATAAATTTAATTACCACAAAACCAGGTGAAAAATATCGAGCTAAGCTTGTGCCGTAGGCCCCGGGGTGGGGGGGGGCACGTCACCCTACACTGATTGGGGTTTATTAGCAATAAATCGGCATTTTGCGACCCCCACTGCCACTGTGTAACATAGTATTACGTGCCAGGGACTCTATGAGATGATAGGGCAATAGTCTGAGTCCATAATTGGCAATTAGTAACGGCAAAGCAGTTATAAGTGACTCAGATTTGTGCGCAGTTGCGTATACAGTACACGACTTTCCTGAAGTCATCAACACCTTCAGCGAGCGCAATGCCGATCACACACAGTTCGAATTCGACCCTCGATCGATGGCTGCGCCATCGCAGCACACGCGTCGAATAAAAAGCAAGGGACAAGTCGCTACTTCCTAACACCTATCATTTTTCATTGCTGGAGGGGTTGCCCCCCATACCTGAAAATCCTGCCTCCGCCATTGCCCGGGGGGGCAGGCGTCTATTCCGTCTCCCAGCCAAATCAAATTTGGCGGAGCCAGGAGACTGAATCCTTGCCCTCGGGATTTCAACAGAAACAACACAAAGCCACTGCCAGTGGCCACGTGGAATTTTCAAACGCTCACTGCGGAGGAGGGGTTGCCACTCCTCTGTTGGGAGCTGGACCAGTGCCGCTTGGATCTCTGCAGAATTTAGGAGCTCCAGTGGACTGGCTCTGGCTCCAGCCACCATGAGGAGTAGACAGTCTTCTACTCAGGGCAGGAGACTTCCAAACAACAAGGAGTTGCCCTTCTGAACAAAAAACATGAAGGGGGTGTAGGAGCCTGACGGTGAGGTGTGTGAAGCTGCAAGCCCCAGGCAACTGTGGGCTCGCCTTCTCAACAACAAGGAGTGGTGGTGGTAGTTACTTATGCCATGACTGAAGATGAATATCATTGGAGGGATGCAGGCAAGGCCGATGAGTCAAATGTCTTTTATGACTTCCTGGCACAGGTGCTAGTTCAAGTGGCCCCTCGGGATAAAGTCATTCTGTTGGGTGACTTTAATGCCCGAGTGGGTCATGATGCTGGCACCTGGTCTGGAGTGACTGGAACGCATGGGCCAGATCAGCTTAATAACAACGGTAGGAAGCTGCTAGACTTTTGTGCAGCCCATGGGCTTGTAATTACCAACACGCTGTTTTGGTATCGGCGCCTCTATACAACATCATGGATGCATGCCGGGTCCAAGCAAGAATATCTGTTGGGCAATATAGTGGGAGAACAGTGGATTCAGGCCCATGTCCTTGACACCAGCACCTACCGTGGAGCTGATCTGCCAACTGATCATCGGCTTGTCATTTGTAAGTTGCGCCTGCCATTCTTCCACTCCAGTGGGTGGATATCCAAGATCCCATTCAAACTCAGTGGCCTGATCTCAGCTGATGAAAGTTACAAGTGAGAATTTCATCATCGCTTGCAGCTGGGGTTGGCATCATCCCCCACTCTTCCTGATGTCGAGGGAAAATGGGCAAGGCTTAGGACTGTGGCTCATGCAGCTGTAATGGCTGCTTTGGGTACGCATTCCAGACCTCCCAAGAGACCCTGGCTGACAGACGAGGTGTTCAAGCTGGCTGAGAAAAAGCAACAGGCCCACTCTCATCGGCTACAGAATTCCACATCGGAGAATGAGGAGGCTTACCGCAGCCTTCGCTCGGAGGTTCGGAGAGCCGTGAGGCGCTGCAAGGATGGGTGGTGGTCGCGGGTTGCTCAGGAGAGAGTCTGCCTCAATGGCCCGCGATCACAAATCGCTCTTTAATTCCATAAAAAAGTAACCTGTAGCGCCACACCTATTACCATCATTAGGGGAAATAATGGTGATCCAATCTCCGACCCCCAGGAACAGGTTTGCAGATTTTCTGAGCATTTATGTGAGGTCCTGGTTTGAGGGAAAGTCCCTAAGCCTGGAAAACAACATGGGACAAAGTGGGGATGACCCTGCCGAGACTGCTGTGCCTCAAATATTAGAAGAAGAATTCACCACCTGAGAGTGGCTAGCTGAGGTGCCATCTGTTGAGGAAGTACTGAAGGCGATCCAGAGTCGTAGACCAGGAAAGGCACCGGGCAGAGATGATCTCCCAAGCGAAATGCTGATGGAGGGTGGCGTTTGTGCACAGACTGCCCTATATGACATCATAACAACAGTCTGGCCCACTGGATAGGTTCTGCAGGATTGGAAGGATGCCCTGGTGTCCCCCTCTTTAAGAAGGTTCCCCTCTTTAAGAAGGGGGACCACACAGACTGTAACAACTACAGGGGCATCTCACTCCTCAGTGTGCCGGGAAAGGTCCTGGCAAGGATTATTCAACATCACCATGCTAGGCACGCTGAGGAGACGCTTGCGGAGCCCAAATGTGGTTTCAGGAAAGGGCGGGCCTGCACAGATGCCATATTTTCTGTCCATCTGCTACAGCAGAGGTGTAGGGAATTCCAACAAGACCGACATCTCTGCTTTATTGACCTGGTCAATGCCTATGATACCATCAGTAGGCCTGGGCTCTGGATTGTTCTTCGTGATTTCGGAGTCCCTGACCCTCTGCTCACGATCATTAAGGACCTTCATTATGGTGAGTGGGCCCGGGTATAACTACGTGGCCGGGAGTCGGAGCCAGTCCCTTGTACACCTTGGGGTGCGACAGGGATGTCCTATGGCTCCCAGATTATTTCACATCTATTTCGACCACGTAGTTCGTGAAGCCTTCAATAGCTGTACCGGAGGAATTTCCATCTGATCGATGCCCAGGTGCGGTCAAGGGATGGCTCCCTATTGCTCAACCATGTTATGTATGCCGATGATCTGGTAATTGCTGCTCACTCAGAGGAGGAGTTGGAGGCACTGCTGCTGAACCTAGAGCTTGCCACTAAGAGGTGGGGCCTTATAATCAGCCCCACCAAAACTAAGCTCTCCACCCCCACAACTCCCAATTGGTGATAGAGCAGTTGTGAAGAGAGTCGAGGGTTTCCCATACCTGGGCAGTGTGCTCATGAACGGCTCCGGTTTAACAGCAGAGGTCTCACTCAGAATCAGTCGAGCGGCATTATCTTTTCATTGGTTGCGTAACGCTGTTTTGAAGCTACCTGGTCTGTCGCAGCTGACCTGCCTACGATCCATCCTGGGTTTAACCAGGCTGGATTGTGTGAGGAGCTCACAAATCCTTGAAAGATCTGAACAAAGTCCCATTGGTGAGCTCCTCCGGCAGGCAAGGCTGCGTTGGCTGGGACATGTAGCCCACACGCCCAGCCACCGCATGCCTAAACAGCTTTTGTTTGGCCGGATCGAGGGAGCTAAACGTGTGTGGTACGGGCTAGAGAAGAGGTGGAGGAATGTGGTACAGTGGAGCTGAGTGGACTTGCCGATGACTGGTACCAGCGGTGTCAAGATCTGCCTCTATGGAGGAGGCTCATGAAGGACGCGACTGGGCAGTTGGAGGCAGTCGCCCTCCAACAACAACGGAAGGCGGAGGAGTGATGCTCACAATAACAATCGGAGTGCCGGGTTGCTAAAGCACAGCAAGTTGGCACAGTAGAGGGCACAGGTGGTGCATCAGCCACTCGTCTCAGTCAGTCGCCCTGTGGCATCTGGGTCTGCCCCGTGACCTGCCAGTGGGCGTTCGACACTTCACGTGGCCTCAACGTGCACATAGCATGGCACAAGCATCATGGTGACATCATCGCCAATTAGTGGCGAATGGCGGTTGTTGTTGTGTATGTGGAGGTGATGAGGGAGGTGGGGGTGAGCAGTAGTTGTCGCGGTTAGTGACCTGCGCTACGAACCCGGCGACCCGAGTTCGATTCCCACTCATGGTCACCGACACCCGTTAACGAATACCTAGATCGACGAGTACCTGGTACGGTGTGTAGTAAGCTATGTCATCTTCTTGGTTCTTTCGGTAAAGTCATCACGTAGAAGGGAAGTAATAAAATAATACAAATAAAACATAATAAAATAATTCTCACGACGTTTCGGCCACAACGCAAGCAGCCGTCCTCAGGTGAAGACCATGTCTGTCGGGGAGACAGCGTCTGACAGACCTGGTCTTCACCTGATGACGGCTGCTTGCGTTGTGGCCGAAACGTCGTGAGAATTATTTTATTATCTTTTTTTTATTACTTCCCTTCTACGTGACTTTACCGAAAGAACCAAGAAGGTGAATCCCTGCAGTCACGAAAGCTTTAAATCGAAAGCTATGCCACTTGAGAGATAAAGGCGACCAGGCATGGTGCTCGCCACCCTACCCCCTCGTGTGCTGTTCCCGCCTCCATAGGTGCTGCTACTCGCTACTAAGAGCACTTGCCCCAACGGTCTGTTTAGGCTACACGGGGGATCTTTGTCTTTGGAGGTGACGGGAGGTGTACGCGCGCTTATCGTGGTGGGGGTGAACCTGTGGGGCGATGATCCACGTGTTCCAGCCGATGTCCTTGAAGCTGACCCTGAGCGGCACCTTTCTGCAGTAGACGGAGCCTCGTCCTCGCCTCTGACCGATGGCCGCAACTCCCCCTGCTCCTCCTGCCGGTGCTGTCGCCGCGTGGCGTCGGGCACGGCCGGGCAGAGGAGCAGTGGGGAGAGCGTCGACTGCGTTCATCGCGCTCTCCCTCGCGGGCTCTCTCCTCTCCTCGCCGCCTCTCCTCCTCGTCGTCGTTGTCATCGCGCTCCCCGTTAGCCTGCCCCTCTCTCTACTACTGCTACTGCCGGACTTGTACCTCCTCATCCCTCTCGCGGTCTCCCTGCCACCAACATCTTTCATCTCCCTCCTGGTGCTCCCCTTGCGCTTCGCTCCGCCTCCTCCTCCTCCACCGGTCTTCTGTCCCGTGCTCTCTCCCGGTCTGCGCTCCCCACTGATCCCCCTCCCGATCTCCTCTCCCAATGCTCGGCTCGCCCTTGACACTCTCCCCCTGCTGCTGCTGCTGCTCTCTCGCCCACCCAGGGCAATGATCTCCTGATGGCCAATCATCTCGTGCACCTCCTGTCGACGGCGGCCGTGATGGCGACGGCCTCGCATACGACGATGTTTGTTTTGTCGAAGGTGGTGGTGATGGTGACGTCTCCTCTCGTCGTCAGAAAATACGATTAAGAGAGCCTCGGCCTTGAGCTTCGAGGCGACGATGTTGAGGATGTGGCCCCCGCCGAAGGGGTTCATGTCAGGGTTTTTTATTACAGTGACGTCGCTGCTGCGGCCAATGCTGTTGAGGAGGCCACTCGTTACACTGATGTTACTCATGCTGCTGCTACTGTTGTGGCTGTTTTTGGTATTATTGCTGTTGTTGTGGCTGTTATTCCTGCTGAACGTGTTGTGTTTGGTATTGTTATTATTGCTGTTGTGGGTATTGTTAATGTTATTATTGCTGCTGTTGCTATTCTTGTTGATGCTGCTGAACGTGTTGTTGGTATTATTATTGTTGCTGCTGCTGTTGTTGTTGAAGGCGTCGACGCGGCCGCCGCTGTCTCCTCTACCGTCTCCTCCGCCGTCTCCGTATGCCACGTGCACGCGCAGCCTCTGAGCGCCCATCCCGTCACGAGACCAGCCGCGCACGACTGACGTCACGTCGAACGTCACGAACAACGCTTTCTCCTCGGGCTCCCCCCCGCCCTCCGCTGCAACCCCCTCTCTTCCGGGGACGAGGTCTAGGGAGGGGTCATCCCCGGTCACGCTCACGCAACTAGCACCGCCTGGCAGCACGCGTGGCAGCCTCAGCTCGGCCGAGGCGATAAGCTCGTGACGTCGCACGTAGGAGATGTTGAAGAGCAGCGAGAGGAGGGGAGGCGTCGGGTTTGAGCCAAAGTCGTCGACGGTGATCACTTCTGCATGAGGAAGAGAGAGGAAGGAGGGAGTAGGAATATGAGAAGGGGGAGAAGGTGGAGGAAGGGGGGGAGGGAGGGAGGGAGGAGGAATATAACATCCCATATCACAGTAATTGTGGGACTACACAATCCAATGGATGTCTGAGGCAGTTCCAAGCCTGGATAAATAAAGAGGATGGACAGGCGATAGGTATCCAGGAGGTCGTGGGTTCGATCCCGAAAAACGACGTTGATAATATTTGGAGTTTGCATGTTCTCCCCGTGGTTACGTAGATTTTTTACCTCCATATTTAGAAACATGCGTTGAGAGTATTTGGCGGCTATACATTTCGATATGAGAAGCCACTTTGTTGAGTTATCATTTGTGGCCAGGTCGCTTCTGAAAAAAAGAGCCATATAGCTCAGTGGGGCTTTCTTAGTAAAACAACAAAAATTTGTTTAGTTTACATCGATACTTCAGTGGTGAAGGAAAAAAACCCACTAAAGGAATCCAGTGCCAGCATACACTGGGAGTGTCATGCTGCCAGCTATGGCTGCAAGTTTGGTCGTACATGTTATGTATATCGTTTATTGTTAAATTTGAATCTCTGTTCCCATGATTACTGTTGTTACATTGTTTTTTCGCTTTATTTTGGTGATTTCGAAAACATGGTTAAGCCATGTTTCTTGCGGAAGTGCGGAGTTGGCCTGATTACTTTAATATAAATTGTCTTATGGTTGTTATCGTTTGACTTGCATCACACTGGGATTTTTGCACACAGCGTTGTAATGGTGGGTTTTTTCTGGATGATTTGCTGGTTTATCGAGGATGTTTCTGTTGCGCGTAGTCGCTTCAAGATGTTCTCTGTTCATATTTTGTTTGTTGCGGTTGCACCCGACTCAAGAGCCGCATGGCTCACAGGGCTTACCTAATAAATGAAACTTGAACTTTAAACGACCACAGAAGAAGAAGGATACCGACTCGGACGTCACACGGGTTAACAAAGGTCGAAATTACCTACGACACCATCAGGTACAACAAAGCAGCCAGATATCTGAAACAGCGAAGGGGCTGAGAATGGCCAACAAGGGGATTGTAGTCAGGGACGTGGAATGTGAGAACGCTGCGGGCAACATGAAAGATACCAAGCTACGGCCTCCTCGGACTGGCAGAAATGAGTTGTACAGGAGTGGGGGGGAGTTCATTGGGGGGTGAAGTGATCTGGTCGGGGGAAGACAAATTGCACATCCGAGGAGTTATAGTTCTTATTGGGTACAAAAGCCAATGCATTATTGGATATGGATTCAGACCGGTTAGTCCAAGGGTAATTGTCGAAGAGATCTAATGGACAACCCCTAAATTTGTCTGTCATCCATATATATGCACCAACATCAGATAGCACTGAAGAGGATATTTGATAGTTCTGCTATATGCCAGAGAGCAAGTTTAAGGAACTTCCTAGGAAACGATAAGATAATTGTGGGAGACTGGATCGCAAACATTGTAAAGGATAGCACCAGGATTGGAACGCATCGTGTGAATGGTGTGGATGTGGAGAAAGACATGAAAGAGGCGAGAAACTGATGGACTTTGCTTAAAAACATGACTTGCTCGTACAATGAATCATCGATTACCCAGCGCGTGATTATCCATCTTTCAACATCCTGGCGGTCCCGGGCCGAAATCGGCAAAAACGCTCCAAAGGTTGTAAGCGGTCCGGCGATCGGCACCATGTACGTGACATAAAAGTAGCTACGGTTCTCAGTGTGCTTGATTTAAGTGTTAAATATTATATACAGTACATTATACACTACATACATACTAAAAGAAAATACTGCACCGCATGCAGATCCTTCGAGATTGGCAGTGGTAAGTACGGTACAAATCTTAATTTTGGAGCTTTCGTGACTGCAGGAATTACTCTTTGGTTCTTTCGGTAAAGTCACGTATAAAGATAAAATAATAAATTAGACAGAGCAGAACATCTTGTGTTCTGCTCTGTGTCTCCGTTCCTCGTGTTTTGTGTTTTGTCTCTCTTTGGAATTTTCACACTTAAATTCTAACTTAGCAATCTTTGAAATACGTAATCGACCAGGCTATGCGTTAATTGTGTGTTGACCGACTCTCTGTGTTGCATTACATTACATTTCCATATTTTGCTAGGTTAGTTAATTTAATGTGTCTCTCTCCCGTTCTCCTAATTTTCAAGCTTGCTTACTTTACCACCTGTCGTCCTACCCATTGACATGCTAATTGTTTCTCTAACCCCCTCCCTCTCTCTGGTCCCGCCCCCTCTCTATTTAAGGCCTCGTTACAGAGACGTTCTCTCTCTGTGTGCCTATGTGTTGCTCTCTCTCTCTATGTATCTTGGTGATATCTGTCTGCTTATATGTCTGTCTATAGTTTTATTGGTTAGATTTTTGTTGCTATTTCATTTATACCTGATGATGATTGCTTGTGTTGCAATCGAAACGTATGCTATTATTTAATTTATTATATTATCTTTATACGTGATTTTACCAAAAGAACCAAAGAGTACGGTACAAATCTTGACTGAAAGCTTTCGTGACTGCAGGAATTCATATTCTTTGGGTCTTTCGGTAAAGTCACTTAGGTTCAAAGAAAATAAAAAACTACAACGTTTCGATCGTAACAAATGCGTTCGTCATCAGGAACAAAGAAGAGGGGGACAGCTGCAGAGGCAGACTGTTTTAAAGGTTTAAATGGGTGTAGCCCAAGGGTAATAAACGAAATTCGCGGGGCTAGTGATGTCAATGTGAGAAATTAGCATGTAAATGTAAGATCGGAGAGAGGCCTGCACGAGGGCGTGGAGGTGGCTATGTTACTGTGAGAGATTAGCATGTAAATGTAAGATCGGAGAGCGACCTCTACGACTCAGGGCACGGAAGTGGCTATGTTACTGTGAGAAATTAGCATGTAAATGTAAGATCGGAGGGCGACCTCCACGACTCAGGGCACGGAAGTGGCTATGTTACTGTGAGAGATGAGCATGTTAATGGAAGATCGGAGAGTGGCATCCACGAGGGCGCGAAGGTGGCTATGTTACTGTGAGAAATTAGCATGTAAATGTAAGATCGGAGGGCGACCTCCACGACTCAGGGCACGGAGGTGGCTATGTTACTGTGAGAGATTAGCATGTACATGTAAGATCGGAGGGCGACCTCCACGACTCAGGGCACGGAAGTGGCTATGTTACTGTGAGAGATTAGCATGTTAATGGAAGATCGGAGAGCGGCCTGGACGAGGGCGCGAAGGTGGCTATGTTACTGTGAGAGATGAGCATGTTAATGGAAGATCGCAAAGCAGCAATGTCGAGCTCGGCTGTGTTAGTGGGAAATTTAACCTATTAATGTAAATTCAGAGAGCCGAAAATAACAACATCGGAAAGTAGTAGGATGGGAACATCACAGCCAGTTATGAATTAAACTGGTTGATAACGTCCTTCCAATTATTGCTCAGTTTTACCCATCTTCTCGATTGAAGTTGTGTCTGTATATGTGGATGGCTTCATGAACAAATCTTTGTTGATAGCCAGTGGGTTTGCAGAGTACCTTTATCTTAGAGAAATACATTTCGTGTGAGCCCACCGCATTACATAAATGATCAGCCACGTCCGAGGTCTTGGTCCTACCGTGTTTCAGATCTGCCTTGTGCTCACGAACACGGTCTGAGACATGTCACTTAGTTTCCCCAATGTAACTACTGCCGCAGCTTAGTTTGTAGACGCCGAGGTATTGTATGTCAGGGATCACATCCTTCACAGATGGGATCAGATCACGAATTTCATGTACTGTGTTAAATCGAACCTGGATCTTGTGGTTGCTCATGATTTTGGAGATATTTTTGGTAACCCCTACCTATGTAAGGCAAGGTGATGGTTTTGATTGGGTCCTCACATGCTTCTTTCCCAACGGTTGGGGTGATAGCTTTATGGATTGTGTAGCCTGAATATCCATTCATCTTGAGAGCTTGGTGTACGTGTTCCAGTTCACTGGCTAGGTGATAACGGTTGGAAATACATCAAGCTCTGGTGTATATTTTTGATGGAGGAATTCTGGGCAGGATGGTGGTGGGAGTCAGGTTTTAGATATGCATCCATATGGGTGGCTTTCCTGTCGACAGTGTCCCATTGAGCCATATGTTCTCCTTTCGATTAAAACATCAACGAATGGTAGCTTGCCATCATTTTCCACATCCATGGTGAATTTGATGGCTGGGTGTATGGATTTGATGAGGTTGAGGAATTGGTTCAGAGCTGGTCGGCCATGTGGCCAGATGACGAACGTGTCATCTACGTACCTTTTCCACAAGGACGGACATAGAATGGATACCTGGATGGCATCTGTCTCAAATTTTTCCATGAAAACATTGTCTACAACTGGAGATAAGAGAGAACCCATTGGGGTACCTTCAACTTGTTTGTAGAAATTTCCATTCCAAGTGAAGTAAGTGTTGGTGAGGCAGTGTCTCTCTTGGTGAGGCAGTGTCTCACCAGCGCCGGTACATCAGGATTCAGTCCTTGTTGGACCAAGTCTTCAATGATTGCAATGGTGTCAGGCACAGGAACTTTGGTAAACAAAGAGACTACATCGAAACTAACGAGCAAATCATCTGGAGATAGTGAGATGTCCTTAATTAACGATATCAAGTGAGCTGAGTTAAGTACAGCTGAGGTGGTCTTACCAGTGAATGGCTGTAAGGTATCAGACAGAAATCGAGCCAGTTTGTAGGAGGGTGAATCAATAGTGGAGACAATAGAACGAAGGAGTGTACTCTCTTCATGGATTTTTGGTAAGCCAAACAATCTGGGTGGTCTAGCGGCAGAGGGGTTTAAGGAAAACCGCTTGGTTCGATTAAAGATGTCGAATTGGTGATGATATTGTTGGTTTTCGTAACGAGACTCTTGATGGGATCTCTTTTAATTTTTATATAGCTACCATCATTAAGTAGGTCCTGAATTTTGTTATTGTATGTGGTTTTGTCCACAATGACTGTGGCA